GGCGCGAAGCACATTTCCAAGTCAAAATGGACAAAACACTAGAGGATCGGACCACTTTTGGAAGTTGAGAGTCGAAAAAGTGCACGCCGTTGTGGCGCGAAGCACATTTCCAAGTCACAAAACTGACCACAACAACACCATGTTGGCCCATTTGTGGACGGTTGAGAGTCGAAAAAGATAGTGCGACGCGGGTATGTGGCACGACGTGTACAGTTCAAGTCAAACTGCACACAACCCCACCATGTGGGCCCATTTTTGGCGGTTGAGCTGTCCAAAAAAAAGGGTCGAAAAAGTGCACGCCGTTGTGGCGCGAAGCACATTTCGAAGTCAAAAGTGTAAAAAACTGACGGTTTTGAGCCTTTTTTGACGTGAAGATGTCGAAAAAGTAGACACTGATTAACTTAACTAACTTGACTAACTTAACTAACTTCACTCACTTAACTACCCTAACTTCGACGACAACAGCAACAGCAACAGCAACAACAACAACAACAACCACAACAACTACAACTACAACTACAACAACTACAACTACAACAACTACAACAACTACACAACAACTACAACTACAACTAGAACTACAACTACAACAACTACAACAACAACAGCAACAACAACAACAACAGCAACAACAACAACTACTACTACAACTACAACTACAACTACAACAACTACACAACAACTACAACTACAACTACAACTAGAACTACAACTACAACAACAACAGCAACAACAACAACAGCAACAACAACAACTACTACAACTACAACTACAACTACACAGCAACTACTACTAGAACTACAACTACAACAACTACAGCTACAACAACAACAACAACTACAACTACAACAACTACAACAACAGCAACAACAACAACAACTACTACTACTACTACTACAACTACACTACACAACAACTACAACCACACAACAACTACAACTACAACAACTACAACTACAAAACAACTACAGCTACAACTATATGACTGCAACTACACTACACTAATTACATTACACCACAACTACACCTCCACTACGCTACAACTACAACTACAGTTGCAGTACATCACACTACATCCAGCAGTTGTGGGTGAGGTGACCACTGCAACCATTGCAACCATTCCAGCAAACACAACTCCAACCACCTTTCGGTCAATCAGTGGCTTCACTCTGCCATCCCTGATTCACAACAACCAACTTCTCCTATAGGTTTCCTATTTTTGAAACTTCCGCCACCGCCTTGTGCGGTACTAGTGGTAATATCTGGAACTATAATATAGTTGTATTATATAGCTTTCTGGCGCTGTCAACAGGGTTGCACTAGAGTCTAGAAGAGATTAAGGGAAGTGATCCTGAACATATTACCCCCATGTCATGTTCAACGTGAGCATCAGGTGGCGTCAGTTGATGTGTGCTGGAAATACTGAGGAAGAGGCGAAGGGATATCGAACAAAGAACATCAAAGAACTATCTGCTCATAGGCATTGTAGGCTTACAGCCATGATAAGATCGCAACTGATCGTATGGCAGTGCGCAGTGCGCAGTGCGCAAAGTTCAGACTGAAGACTGTGAAGACCTGCCTAACCGTTCAAGCGGTCTGGAGACTGTGAGCCCGGCTGCGAGTCTTCTGCCCAATTCCGCAAGTGGCAGAGCAAAACCCCCAGTGGCTCCAATCTGCGCCAAAACAGGTGCTGTGTTGGTTTTGTAGCACACGTAGTGCTGTCAACTCCACACAAGGTATACACAATGCACATCACTGCTCCAAACTTGACACTGCAGCAACGGCTTCACAGCAAATTGCGCTGTCTGATCTGTCTGTAAAATGCAAACAACCATGGCTTGAGAGAACACGGTTTTCACACCTTGCCTGAGAGCACGCAATCATGTCCACTGCAGGACTGGCTGTTGCAACCTGCAAATTACGAACCAGTGCAAGCACTCACATTGCGGGAACAAGCACACAAGATTCAAAGACATGTAGACTGCTGCAGCAGCCCCACCCTGGGTCTCCATCAACACGTTTGGACCTAAGTTCAATGCGAGACTTGCATTTTTTGTTCCATTGGTTTGTGATTTGTCTGACCACTGTGCAATGGTGCCAATCAGTGGCGGACACGCAGTGCCGCCGCCCGAAGGGTAACGATGCACCTTTCCATGCACAACTAATGCTGATGCATACGGGCATGGGACTCAACAGCTTTCAACAATGTTGTGTGAAAAAAACATGTCTCGCATTGTCTCGAAAATGAAGCAGGTGTGAGCAAGAAGCAAGAACATGAAGTCTCATCCAAGCAGAGTGTGTCACGGCAGAGCAGACACTTTGCAAGGTTTCGCAAAGCTTGAAACGACAAAGGGCTGAGCAAGCACGAACGAAAAGCGATGAATGAAGCGAGTTGACTCGACTTTCTTTCCTCCATGTAGAGAATTGATGAGAATTGTAGAGAGCATGTTTCTGATTTTGTCACTTCATGGTCACTTCATGGTCACTTTATGGTCATTTCATGGTCACTTCATGATCACGTCCATTCGGAATCGAATCGCATCATGCGATGCACTCCAACAAAAGCTGAACCTCGCGATGACGATGACTTTGTCCACCATCACAAGTCTTGTCACAAGCGTCCTGCTCTTTAGAAGCACCCACGGCCATCACAAACATAGGAGAGAACCACGCAAGCTCCTGTTCCGACTACCAATATACCTAATTTCCATTAACTTCCGACCTTCTAGGTCTTTGCAATGCTCATGTGTCATGGTACATTCATGCTGCCAAGCGGAAAAATCAATCCGAAGACTGTCCCATTGTGACCATGGAGAAACGTCGCAGTCAACCCGTTGGCTATCACACCTGAACGAGGCCAGAAAAAAAAAATCCGCACCAGCTCACATTGAATCCCATCACAGTCAATCACGTACGGGAATAAAATTACGACAATATCCTGGATTCGCACACGGCGAAATTCCAAGGGACTGGCCATGCTGTTTCATGTAGAGAGCCAGCACACGGCTCTCCAAAGACCTTGTCACTTGGTGATTCCATGCACCCAAGAGCAGCAAGACCTTGTATCATCTTGTATCATCTTGTATCATTGTAGCGCAGCAATCGCTTGATGTGGTGAAATAGTCATGGTCATCTCAATCAAGTGTCTCCTTCGATCTTTCATGATGTCTCAGTACACCGGTCACAGTCTGCACCCTTGATGTCTACTCTTTTCTACTGTCTGATTTCCAGCCATATATTCAATTTTTTGAATCCTGATGTGCTGTCAGCCTGCACTGAGAGCTGTGCTGATGGCAATTGAGTGATTCTGCGCTTACGAGACATCTGTCCATTTTCACCGCAGTGGGACCACTGCTCCCAAGACCTTGTGAGCAAGGTAAAAGAATCCAGAATACTTCAAGGGCTTGTCAGAACCAATATGTCGAAATATGTCGAAATACTGTAAATCCTGGACTTGACCCTTTCAGACCCTTCCACAGTGTCCTTTTGCCGCGTTTTGCTTGGCGTCAGACGACCATTTGCAATCCTCTTTTCCAGACTGTCTGCAGTCTGGATTTGCCTTGGCTCATCCGTCTCAATTCTAGATCCTTGTGGATTATGTTAGTCTTTGCCATAAAGTACCAGATGCTATGCTGGCCACTCCAAGGCAAATGTCCATCTCGAAAAGTGCTCCAACCTCAATTCATCAAGACTTTCCAAATCCAACAAACATATTCAAACTCTTTCTGACTTATATATATATATATATTAGCATTCATGCAACAAGGTAACAAGCAAAGAATGGATCAAAGTGTCACAGAGGCAACTGCACAAGGCTCACCACCATGTCGCGCTTGCCGATCAACCTTGGCAACAGAGCCGCTTGCAGGAGGGAAGTAACAGATTGCTGTTTGTATCTGTTTGTCAAATTTCCTCATGCTTCTGGGAACAAGATATTTTTCGCACATTTCTAGGATGCTTTCAGCAGCTGGGCAATTTTTTGGGCATGTGCAAATTCCTCTTTCCTTGACAGTAAGGGCCTCAACCACCCTCGGATAACTTTGTTTCAGGTTCAGGAATAGGTTTGGTTTTCCGTTGTGACTTGAGTGAACAGGCGACCTGTTACAGGGCATTGCAGCCCACAAACGATTTGCCGATCAGCTGCAAGCAGGTTGCCTCACAACAAACCTCTATCTGACAACAAAGATTAAACGTTCGAATGTCTAGAGCAGAGTTCCAAGACCAGTGCAGGTTTTCTTCTCAGAAGGGGATTCAAATTCTTTGGCATACAGGACTCTTGTTTCAGAATGCACATAGAATCTGTCCACTGTTTTGAAGGTCGCATAGGGAGTGGTAGATCGAACAAAATTCTGAACCAAAAGAATTATTCAAACATCATCAAATGTTGCAATATGATTTGCAAACCAAATCTTGTCCTGTCTACATTTAAAACGACCCCCCCACATCAGAAGAAACTTGTGCAAACCCAACAATGATTCGTTCCTTCCTTCCTGCCTTTCTGCCTGCCTGCCTTTTTTCTTCCTTAAGTTCGTGTTTCTTCATGCGCGCAAAAGCGTCGAATTAGATTGTAGTGATTGTAGAAGAATGGCTGCGTGTCTGACACATCTTGTCTTCATGGGTTGGCATGCCTATCCTTTCAGTGGGTGCTCACCAAGAGAATCATCCATTCATTGTCATACGCCTGAGCATCATTAATGTTACGCGCAAACACCCCGTTTCACCCACAATATAGGCAAAGGTCCAGGAATCTTGGAAAAGTTGTTCAATAAAGGTCTGAAAAAGTGTCTTTCATACACAGTTGTCTGGGAGTGGAGAAGTCTGTAGAGAGGCGCATTGGAAGTCGTCTGACAATGTCTGACACGTGGCAGTCTTCAGATCTTTTAGAAGTGCCCAGTGTCCTCGATAAGAAATTGCTGCACAAGTGCAGACGAACACGACTTGCTCACTCCCTAGATATTTTCCCATCTCGGAAATCCACACGTTTTATGCAACCAATGAGAATGAGCGCCTGTGTTAGGAAAGCTCAACTTTGGAGGTGTGCTCAGCATTGCTCAGGTAGAAATTCGACCAAATGACTAGAATTTGCATTCTGTCAATTCGATCATTCGATCATTTTCTTCCCTGGGCCTCCCAATGTTCTGGAGATGCTATGATACGGTGCATGGAAAAAAATCCTGCACCAGTTAATAGGTGGTTTATACATACCATTTATACAAAGGGTTTCCACCATCCAAGGTGATGCAGGATTTCTTCCATCCACAGTATGATATGATCTAGGATGTAGTCTATCCTAGATCATCCTGAAATGTCCGGCAGTAATTGCAGCAAAAACACTGCACGCTGTCGAGTATGCCATCCTGTTACGCATCCTTGGAAAAACAACAATTTCAAAAAGGAGGTGGGAGTGCTCAATGCAATGGTGTGCAAGCACCAAAAGTTTCTACAAGTACATTTTTTGCAAACTCTTTTCAAAAACTGTCTCCCGTTGAGTTCTTTCCGTGCACAAGTGACGTGTGCTACATGTAGACCACTCTGCCCACGGTCCGAGGACGCAGTCTTGCGGCACCTAGCCAGTGTAAACACCAAAATGGTCATAGATAATCATAGACTATCAAGCAATCGACATTCTGGGAAAATTCAGAACTAGACAATTGCTTTGATCTTGAAACCTTTGGAATGGGCCTTGGGACATCCAATAGTTTGCTGCAAGTCTCCGGTGCATGGCCTAAGTCATGCCAGTCATCAATGAAGTCATTGAAGTCATGTTTTGGTCAAAGTTTATCAAAGTTCTGGTGTTTAGTCACCCTGGGAGGTCCCACGACCCGCCATTCATGGGCATCTTCGCAATCTGACGACTTCGGTCCATCTGAAGCCTTCTGCATGGCGTCATTCAGCATGGTTGTGCTGTTCTGAAAACGAAACTGTCAATCTCTGTAGCCACCACTGCCTCAAAGTTCCACCCATACTGCTATCACACCTCGGGCCAGAGACGTGAGACCAGTGTGGCACAGAGTGCTTTGCATGGCTTCAACTCAAGAGGTTCAGCATGGTTCAGCATGCTGCAGCATGCTGTAAATTAGAAAGCTGTGAAAGTTGAAATATGTTTGAATGTCAACTTGGTCAACTTGGTCAACTTGGTCAACTTGGTCAACGTGGTCAACGTGGTCAACTTGGAACTCAAAAGGCAACCACGTCAAAAGCATGCAGGTAGACGAGCATGAAGGAGCAAGGTATCAATGACCAGTGATGTCATCACCAAAAGTGAAATCATCACTGTAAATCACGCCATGGTGTCACTAAGTCTGATTTCTGTGCCACTATATTCTGGCGATAAAGCATTCGTTGTAAGGCTTCAATGGTCCAAGCAGTGCCTGGTAAGGGGTCAGCGAGGCTTAATTCATGCAAGTACATAATTCGACTATATACACTTAAAGAGTTAGCTTCAGTAGGTTGATTCTGCGGTCATTCCACCATAAATTTTAGTACCGCAAACTTGACTAATCTTTAGGGAGCCGAAGCGTCCGGGCCGTTGCAGCGTGAATTCTCTCTACTAGGAAATGATCAAGCACTGAGTGAAGGACTAAGAGATTTTATCTGCCCAAGGCCCAAGGACTAAGAAGTCTAAGAAATCTTTAAGAGATTTGAATATCAGAAATTGTCCAAACAATAAGAGGACAAGGCGACAAAGTGACAAGGCGACTCGGCGACGGGTTGAGCCGTTGAGCTGCGAACCCCTCCCAGTCAGACCAATCACCAAGTTCACAATCCTGGCAAAACCAAGCACAGAAGTACAGAAGACAAGAATTGAAGCAGTTTGCAGCGCAAAAATCTAAGATGGTAAAAAAGGCTATGAGATTTGCCACAACTTGCGACTCTTCCATGCTTTAGTATGAAACTTGGCAGGATGAATGGGTGGATTCTTATTTCGTAGCCGCTCTCACGATAGCTTGAGTTGCAGGCAACTAGACACATTTGCCAAAAAAACTACAAAGGCTCGTGAAAAGATTTTGCTAAGGTCGAGCTGACGTGACGCTCAAAAAACTGGAGCCCTGGAACTCTATGAAACTCTAGACCTTTTTGATCCTTTTTGATCCCTTTGTGCCTTTTTGATACTGTATTCCTTATCTATGGTTTTGACAATCTCAATACCGACCTCCGAAGCAAACTTGCACCTGAGGAATATCCAAGTCCCTTAGCGAAACGTGTCTGCCTGCTCTTCTTGGCAAACAACAGGGCAAGTCTTTGTGTCCAAGATCGGTCCTGGGCATCATTGTCAAGTCTTTTTGTCGGGACCTCCAAAGCATGAACACACAAACACGCGCCGCAACTGCCTTCGCAGCCACTTCCACAATTGTTGTTGTGCTGGCTAATGATCCGGTGGCGTTCGCAAAGGCCTTCGCGTCGGACAGTGAACATGAAGCGGGCCAACTGTCAACAGGCAGAAAACGCTTTCAACTCCAATACAGAGCATTAGTCTTGGTAATTTAAGTTGGGTCCAGAATTGTTTGGGGATTTGTTTGTTCCGTTTGGTTGTTTCTTGGTTTCCTGTTCTGTCCATTTTCCTTGCCATTTGCAGCATTTTGGAGCTCTCATTTTCCATTGTATTTGCAGCATTTTGGTGCTATTTGCAGCATTTTGGAGTTGGAAGCCACCATTTCAACAGATGTCAACACTATTTGCAGCATTTTTGATTTCGAACCTCTCATTTCCATGGAATTTTGCGACATGCGTGTAACATATTGTAACATGGTAGTTTGCAACTAGGGTTGATTTAAGATTAGTTTAGGGTTTTTGTTAGGGTTGGTTTTAGAGTTCGAGTTCATTTAGGTTTTACTATGGGTGGGTTTCGGATCTATTTAGGGTTGGTTTTAGGATTTGTTAAAGTTTTGTTTAAGATCTATTTACTGTTAGTTCATTTAGGGTTGGATTTAGGGTCTATTTAGGCTGGGTTTAAGATCTATCTAGAGATGTTTTAGGTGCCGGGCATGTGAGATGTTCGCGACTGTTGTCATTTTTGGCATCCTACTATGAAAATAACATTGTGTGCGGGGGGGTGGGGTGGGATGGGATAATAACGTCATTTGCGCTCCCACAACATATCTGTACGTTCTCTTGCATTTCATTCACATCCGCACATACGTCATGCTACGCTGTAGGTTCCCTTGCGCTTCCACACATATGTCATGCTACGCTGTTGTAGGTTCTCTTGCACTTCCACACATACGTCATGCTACCCTGTAGGTTCTCTTGCACTTCCACACCTACGGTATGCTACGCTGCTGTAGCTTCTTTTGCACTTCCACACATGTGTCATGCTACGCTGCTGTAGATTCTCTTGCACTTCCACACATACGTCATGCTACGCTGTTGTAGATTCTCTTGCACTTCCACACATACGTCATGCTACCCTGTAGGTTCTCTTGCACTTCCACACCTACGGTATGCTACGCCGCTACGCTGCTGTAGCTTCTTTTGCACTTCCACACATTTGTCATGCTACGCTGCTGTAGATTCTCTTGCACTTCCACACATACGTCATGCTACGCTTCAGTAGATTCTCTTTCACTTCCACACATGCGTCATGCTAGGCTGTAGATTCTCTTGCACTTCCACACATACGTCATGCTACGCTGCGGTAGGTTGTCTTGCACTTCCACACATACGTCATGCTACTGCTGTAGGTTCTCTTGCACTTCCACACATACGTCACGCTACGCTGCCATGATGATGATGATGATGATGATGATGATGATGATGCTGATGATGATGATGATATTGCGTTTTTGAACCTTTACAACTTCCCCCTATAGAAACTGTTTGAAAAGTGACGACAGTCGCGAGCCTCTCAGGTGCCCGGCACCATGTTTTTAGTACCTCTTTAGGGTTGGTTTTAAGGTTTATTTAGTTTGGTTTAACATCTATTTGGGGTTGGTTTAGGATCTATTGGGATTGGTTTAGGGTTTATTCAGAATTGATTTCAGCTTTATTTAGGGAGTGTTTAGGGTTTACTTACATAGTTTGCTGTAGCGTTTTTTTGGTTGGCTTGGGGTTTCGTTTACGGTTGGTTTAGGGTTTGTTTCTATTCAGAGATTTATGAGAAACGAAAAGCATAGAAAAGCAGAGACGCATAAAAGCAGATAAGCAGGAAAAAACAGAAAGCGGAGAAGCAGAGAAGCTGGAAAAACAGAAAAGCAGGGAAAAGCAGAAAAACGGAGAAGCAGAGAAGCTGGAAAAGCGGAGAAGCATAGAAGCAAAGAAACAGAAAAGCACAAAAGCTGAGAAGCAGAAAAGCAAAGAGGCACGGAAAAGCAGAAAGGGGAGAAACAAAAGACAAGGAAAAGCAGAAAGCAGAGCTGGGAAGCTGGGAACCAGAAATCCAAAAACATGGAATAAATTGAAAAAAAATCAGTCCCTCAAAAAATAACCCTCCATTTAATTTCTAGGGAGAGCTTCAGAAAGTATAATGCGATGGGTTTCACTGGGTCAAGTCAACCTTTTAATGTGAAGTTCAGCTGCTGGGGTAGTCCAATCCAACCCAATCCACCATCCAGTATACATACATATCAGTTGCCATTTGTACCACTGTGACTAGGGAAAGCACGGGGCGCAGGGAATTTGGAGTAACATGTTTAACACGTTGAGTTCGAGGTCAATTTGTTAAGGACAGACGGGAAGGCTTCACACCTACATGCGGTCAGATGTTTCACGTGCTCTAATTTCTGAATAAATGCGCTGGAAATGTAAAAAGATGCACTTTGCTTGGAAAGAGAAACCATTTACAAGTCAATCCATGTCATGAATGGTCCCCCCAGCGTCGTCCGCTGTATGATGTTTATCCCAATGTGGGTGTGGATGTGGGTGTGCGTCTATGTGTGTGTCTCAATCATTTGAGTGGAAGCCCTTTGCCCTGAAAGAGCATACCACAGTGACGGACCAGCAGACAAGGAAGGGCATTTTTTTCAAAAAGAAGGGGGACGAAAAGGTATGTACTTGTGATGGTAGGGTGGTTAAAGTGGTGAACGGGATGGTGCCAAGCACTCTTCTTTCCATTTTCGATTCCTGTCAAGATCAACCCATCACACATTTTTCAAGATAACGAAACTATTAAGGCTTCTTACTTCAAGTATAGCAGGAGTTGCATGTCTGCGTTTTGGAGCAGGCATGTTGGTGCGGCTGCAGGGTGCTGCTTGAAGGCGTTGCTGTCAGAGTGGTGTGTGCCCTTTGGCGGCAATGCCGGTGCCGCTGCAGGGTGCCGCTGCAAGGTGCTGCTTGAGGGTGCTGCTGTTAGAGTGGTGTGTGCGGTTTGGAGCGGGCATGCTGGTCCCGCTGCAGGGTGTTGCTGCCAGAGTTGGTGTGTGCACTTTGAAGCGGGCATGCTGATGCTGCTGCGGGGTGCCGCTGCAAGGAGGGTGCTGCTGTCACGGTGGGGTGTGCGCTTTGGAGCCGGCATGCCGGTGGCGCAGCAAGGTGCTGCTGTCAGAGTGGTGCGCGCGCTTTGGAGCGGGCCGATGCAGGTGCCGCTGCAAGGTGCCGCTTGGGGGTGCTGCCGTTCGAGTGGTGTGTGCGCTTTCAAGCTGGTGCCGCTGCAGGGTGATGCTTGAGGGTGCTGCTGTCAGAGTGGTGCAAGCGCTTTGGAGCGGGCATGCTGGTGCCGCTGCAGGGTGCTGCTGTTAGAGTGTCGCGTGTGCTTTGGAGCTGGCCTGCTGGTGCTGGTGGAGGGTGCCGGTGGAGGGTGCTGCTGCAGGGTGCTGCTGCAGGGTGCTGCTGCAGGGTGCTGTTTCAGGTGCTGCTGTCAGAGTTGCGTGCGCTGTGGCGCTGGTGCAGGCGCTGCGGGGTGCTGCTGTTAGAGCGATGTGTGGGTTTTGGAGCTGCAACGAATCAGGTGATGATTGGCGCAATGCATTTTGGGATACGTTTTTGGGATGCATTTTCCTGGGCTGGCCAGAATGCAAAAAATACACGTTTTCCCCATATTTTTTGCATGCTGGTCAGCCCAGGAAAATGCATCCCAAAAATGCATTTTTTTGTGGGGAAATGCGCAAAAGCAACAAGCAGAATCAGGTGACGGCAAAACTTGCTGATGGGCCTAGAATTTGGGGAGGGTAAATTTGTGTTTTGGCTTGGGAAGGTTCATGTTACCCTAGAGCCCTAGGTTCCCATATCATAAATTATAAATATACAATCGTTGTTCTTAGATCATCTGATCCCCTGGGTGTCCTTATTGATGGCCCTGTTTGGAGCTTACAAACTGGTATGCGCTTGGTATAGGCCTTGTTTGAGATTTGCAAGTTGGTACGTATTCGGTATGAGGCCTATGATTTGGTATGCTTGTCTGATATGCCGTTTCAGCATGATGGGATGCATTTTGTGCCTCAAGCCTTGCGGCTAAAAGGCACGTCATAAGAGCGCTTGGTTCCCACCAAAAAATATCTTTGGGATAATTCACGTATACAGTTTTAGTATGGAGTGCATGTTCTTGACGCGGGTGATACTCACACAGAATATACAGGCAATGATAAGGAAAGTAGTGATGATGATACTCGTAGTGTTGATGAGAATGAGAGTTAAGATGAGGGTGAGGGTGAGGATGAGGATGAGGATGACGATGACGATGGTGATGGTGACCACGGTGAGGGTGATGATGATGACGACGATGACGACGATGACGACGATGACGACGATGACGACGACGACGCCGCCGCCGCCGACGGCGACGACGATGCAAAGATGACAACAATGAATGACGATGAATGACGATGACGATGACGATGACGATGACGATGACGATGACGATGACGATGACGATGATGATGATGACGATGACGATGATGATGATGATGGTGGTGCTGGTGGTGCTGGTGGTGCTGGTGGTGCTGGTGGTGCTGGTGGTGCTGGTGGTGCTGGTGGTGCTGGTGCTGGTGGTGCTGGTGGTGCTGGTGGTTGCTGGTGGTGCTGGTGGTGCTGGTGGTGCTGGTGGTGCTGGTGGTGCTGGTGCTGGTGGTGCTGGTGGTGCTGGTGGTTTTGGTGGTTTTGGTGGTGGTGTTGATGATGACGACGATGACGAATGACAAATGACGATGACGATGATGGTGATGATGAGGATGAGGATCAGGATGGTGACGATGGTGACGACGGTGACGATGTTGACAATGAGGATGGTGATGATGGTGATAATGCTTTACGTGGGCTATCGTGCATAGTAACGGCGACCAAAATGGAAGCCAGGCAAGGCAAAAAAGGACTGGAATCCATGAGAAGAATGAGTGGACACAGCAAATGTTGAAACTTCGACCATTTTAGGGAGTGTCACCCTCAATACAAGGAATCCCTTGAATTCCACAACCCCATCATAAACCCAAAATACCAAGCCTACGCATTTGCCTGCCCATAAAGGAAAACGTGCTAGAATAAAGAAGTCAGGTAGCTGACGCGACCTGTTGTAAATTGGGAAGCTGTACTGAAACATAGAGAAACAAGTAACTCATGTCATCAGCACAGGGCACCTAAGCATGTTGGGTCTTGCCAATCACTCCAGTCGGAGAATGTGCAGTTCTGCGGTATGCACCTTAACTACATGGCTTGCAGCGAGGCGAAGCACGGTCTTCTTTGACGGTAGCCAAAACAACCCGGAATGCATCTTTCACGGCTCTATTTTTTGGACGTTTGGCACATTTGATAATCTCAAACACTTGGGCCACCGCGGTTTACATTCCTCCATCTCTGGGCACTCGGTGACGTTGAGTTGGGTGCCAGCCTGCTTTGTATCAATCTGCAAGTGTATCTAAGTATATCATGTCCTTTTCCAAACAGCTTGTTTGAAACATTTTCCAAGGGTGAGGTCTGTTTTGGCTTGGCTTCTGACACATGACGATTGGTCTTCCACAAGGAAGAGTGATCCAGATGGATAGGGCATGAGACCCAAAGCCTGCGCTTCAAAAACGGCCCTGCATTAAAAGTCACAGCACTTGATCATCGCAAAACAACCGGATGGGCAAGTTGACTAAGTTGACTAAGTTGACAATAAGGCAGCAACAGGGTATGCTTGGCTTCAGGGCTGGGGTCGCTGCTCGATTGCGCGTGGAACTTGCCACACCGCATTTGTTGCAGGACTCTGACCTGACAGGGAGTTTGTTCAAGAATCATTCAATCCTTCAATGTTTGATGTATAGCACGCACGCGCACACACAAACGGATCAGCTTTCAACATTAAACACTCAGATCCCCGGCTCAGACCACTGCGTCCAGCTGCAGTAGACCTTCTCATCCTGCCACGTCCCGACTAGCAGTCTGCTGAATTGTCGTCAAAATTGAATGAAATTGAACACAAGTCCAATCGAAATGGCTTGCTGTCGTTTGCCGTCTAGTGCCAACCGTTGGTGACGCTTGCGAAGTTGGATCAACACCTTTTGTGGGTCACAGCCTTTGCATTTGTTGTTTTTGTTGCTGCAAGTGCAGCAGTGGCCGTGGTGGCCATGGACGTTCAATAAAGGTTCTGCAGCTGCAGGTGATGAACTTCATGACACTCTCCCTGATAAAAACAAGTGTGGCGATGTGTTTCTGCGGAAAGTGCGAGGGAACTCGCATCAAACCTAACCTTCATGTGTGAATGTGTCTGTGGTTGCTTGCTCAACCCAGCTGAAAAAATCGTGAACGAGCACAAGGACTTGAAAATTACTGAAAGCTCACTCAATGGGCTGAGGCTTTATTGTATCGCTCTTCAAACAATGGCAGTTCTACGCATTCGCTTTCACAAGGTCCAGCTTCTTTTGCGTCCATAGGCTCACAAGGCCTGAGACCCCGCTTCGCTGCATTTTCTGCTCCATGTCTTCATGCAAAAACAAAACACTCATACAGCCAGTGCTTTGCACTGCCAGGGCTGCAACTTGCCGCAATAGTTTGGCATCTGCATGATGTTCCGATAACGAAACCTGTGGGACACATGGAAGATTGCTGCTTTTGGGAATCTCGGCACTTTAAAGTCAAAACAAATATCAGCACGCGGAATCACAACAGGATACGTATACAACAATACACTACAAACATAAATATCACAAATAGATATCTATATATGTATGTGTGTGTGAAGCACAAATCAATACAAATTGTCACAAGTTTGTTGGCCTCTGACCACCACATTTGGAACAACTGCCCCAGTGTGTCCAGTCCTTAGCAGCCAGTTGTAGACAAGCTTAGCAGCTAGGCTTAGCAGCTTAGCCATTTTAGCAGCTGTAGACTTTAAGATACTCTCATCTCCACAGCTTCGGACGCTCCACTTGCAGTCGTGGCAGCCCGCTTCAGGGCAATGCTCCCTGCAAAGCTTGCCGCTTGCACCGAGGACAAAAGTTATTCTCAACATTTCTCAACTTTGAATCTTGGGGCCAGGCTCACCACAAGGCTCAATTTCAGCCAAGTAGTCGGTGCAGGGCCTTCAGCGCAGCAAATGCTTCGATTCTCATCAACTAATCTTCAAGAAAATACAGAACATGGACACACACCTCTTGATGACGATGAGCTTTAGAGGTATATACAGGCGTTGAACGTGTGTGGGATGGGAGTTTCCAAATAAAACACTGCCGTATGGCACGGGAATGGAAGCCAAGGACCAAGATCAACCAAGGAAAAAGGAAATCTAAAAAGAAAACAAACATAAACAAACAATATCCTAAAATGCTGCTGTGATTGGTGCAAAAGTAAGTGTCCAGTGTCCATACTGCCCGATGTCCTTCATCTTAACATTGGATAACATTGGTACATATCTTTGTTGCTTGTCTGATCTTGTCTGGTGTTTGTCACGTGCTGCCTCGTTTGACTCCTGAGGCCTTGACACTCCTCCATGACCTGATTCTTGCAGAATGCTTCTTGACCGCTGCTTCTGTCCTCCACCACACGAGGCCTGCCATGAGACTTGAACAAGGCCACCGTTCCACAGGACATGACCACAGTTTTTACCACAGTTCTATACATGTCCATACACTTTATTACACTTCCATATTATCAACATCCTCAACATTCTCAACATTCCAACAGCAAGCCGCAGGCACACTACATTCGCCCCAGTCGTCCCACTCAGCAATGACCTGGTTGTGAGCAAATGCGCTTGCTCCCATGCACTGAAGACTCAAGACTCACACTCAGGTATCCTGAGATATCCTGAGGTACTGTCACAATCCTGCTGACGTTTCAAATCTCCGCAGTGCGGATCTCGCTCCTGACAGAGATTCGATCCAATCCAAGGCCAGCGAAAGATGTTTCTTGCATCAAGCAAGAGTGCGAAGGATCTGCGCATGTTCAAAAATTGTGTGAAGAAACACTGTACCATTTGAAATGCCAGCGGAGGGTCCCAGGGTCACTGTCAAACGAAGATATGTACAAAAATTTTGCTGATACACATTCGAGAGATACTGTATGCTATCGGGAGCTCCAATCATGTTGATTTTTTCCGAAAAAATGCCGACTCCACAATTGCCCAACCGATGATATTTTTTCCCACCTCGCCGCGACCTGGATTGCAAGGGACTATCTCCTTCACGGTGCCGTTGCAAGACCTCATGTATGGAAGACGAGGGTAAGTGCCAACAAAAAGGGCAGCGTCAAGCGGAATCAAAGAGCAGAACAGTGACCGAAGGACATTTGCTCATCTATTCTTTGCACCTTTTGAACTACAGTATCTAAGGCGAAAGCAAACCGTCTCCAGATGCAAACTGCTCTATCACTCGGTTTCGTTCTCGAATTCCAAAACAGCTGCAGCTGCACTCTGACCTAGCACTTGCAGAATTTGAAAGCTGTCGGAAACCAGACCACAAAGCGCTGGCACGACTGGGCTAACAAGGCATCACTAGGCCAGAACACAACATATATATATATACACATATATATATATATATACACATATATATACACACATATATATATATACACAGTATATCTCAGGAGGAACAAAGCTTATGCTTCTCGAAAGCTTGGCAAAACATTCATCTCGGTCAACCGCGGATCACATTTCCAAGTCCATTTTGTGTGGCGGGTGTGGGATGGTCAAAGTTCACCCGCTTTTAATTCTATAAGATTTTGAAGCTTTTGGAGGGTGGAAATGTGAAGGGGAAGGGTGTGCAAAAGAAACCAAACATGTTCACTGCCGGAAGCTCAACAAGCGCAACTTTTATCCTACCAGTGTATGTATATAGTGTTATACATATATTATGTATATATATATGATATGTGTGTGTATTTTGTATATATTTGTATACGTCTGGATATATATATATATAATATTTGAAAATATATTTGTAAAATAGATTTGTATATACTGTGTATGCATTATATAAAGCTATGTTTCTGCGTGGACAGGCTATGTGGCGCACCAATGGTTCCATGCTCCAAGTTGGCAGTCTTGCTTGAAGTTGCAAGGCTCCAGGTTTGCACACACCTTCGCTGTACAAGGCTTGACAAGGCTTGACACTTGACAAATCTTGACAAGGCTTGACAAGGCTTGACAAGGCTTGACAAGTAGAGAGTGACTCAGAATGACAGAAGAGCACTGTCAAAGCACTGAATCTTCTCGGTGTACATAGCGAGAGAAAAAGTTTCTCTCGGGAAAAGAGTACCCAAAGACCAAACTCTACACGCAACTCACATGTGACCGTATGAGAGCTAGTCAAAAAAGGCCCTGCAATGAAAATGAGAATGAAAATGAGAATGAAACATAATGAAAGATGAATTTTGGCCAATTTTGGCCTATGGGCTGCAAAGATGTGCAGAGTCCTTCATTTTCTCTCCCTCCTATTTCGCCTTGTATTCTTCTCGAAGACCCACAGCAGGCTTGCCACAGTGGCTTGGTTGAACCTGCAAGATAACAATGCAGTAGCCCGGTGATAACACAAACTTTTCGCAGAGAAACCTAGACGTGTCAAGGGGTCTACACCCGTCCACATCCCGTCCACATTTAGAAAGACTTCAGTGCTCCATGTGTCTCTTCATTTCACAATGTTCAGCAGGAAACTTGGGTCGGCACAGCAACGTCCCTCCTTCTGGACTTGTAAGCCACATCACAAGTTGCTGAACCTGGAAGCAATGGAATGGAAGCTCTGCAGAAAAATATGCCTGCAGAATCTATCAACTCTGGAGCTAGTTCCTGGATATTGATGGATATTGCAGGACTGAACTGATTTCTTGGTCTATGACACGTGGTCCAACTGCTCCAGTCTGCCCACTCACCTGGGAAGGCTGAAGGCTGCGATTTCAAAAGGATTCACAGTTCAAGCGCTTAGTCTTCCACCGTTCAGGCAAGCCTCTTCGCACGAAAGGGTGTTGCAAGGCCTCAAAAAACCCAACAAATTTTGACAATGCTGGCTGTGAGGCTATCTCACATTGTTTCTTACTTCTTCAATTTCTGCCTATTCGGTCATTATATTGTTGTGAGATGTTGTGAGCACTTGTGAGCTGTCGTGAGATTCTGGAGCTCCCGACACCATCTCACTCTTGTCGTACGCCGTGCAAAGACTGTGCAGGTGAATTTTGGTGCCAGGTCAACACAGGATAATGCAGATCACGATCACGAGCAATGAAAGCTACTGTAAGCTACTGTAAGTGTCAAATGAATCCAAAGGATAGACAAAAAAAGTCAGCGAGGAAGGATGCTCAAGAATTCTGAAAGGAATCCAAAGGATTGTGAAAGGATTATAAACGGATTGTAAAAGGATTCAAGAAGTTGCCATATGTTGCCGCTGTCGCCTGCCCCCGTTTTGAGGTGCGATGGCCACATTGCGTTCTCGGCCTTGAAAATAGTCGATGCACAGCATGCATTGAGTCAGAATGCAGCAAAAGAAGCTCCATATGCTCCATACTTTCAAGCCCTGCTTAAATATGCTTAAATTAACATAAATTAACTCTGAGGGCAGTCTGAGAGTTGTTCGTTTAGTTCCTCCGTCGCAAGAAGCAGAGCACACAGACCATTCATACCACTCCTCAGTTGAAAGCATGTGCTTCTCGATCGCACTGCTTGAAACGGATTCCTTTTACGTTTTCTGTCGGTCCACAAACACCCGACACTGCTCCCCTCTCCATGAACCACTCTCGAAGCAGGCCCTAATGGGCACACCTCCTAATTATATATTGTCGTAACACTGTCGTACCACGTAGTACCATATGATTAGCCATACAATGCTTCATTAAGCTTTGTTATCCATATATTTTGTTAGCCCTGCCACGCCACAACCTGAGGCTCCTACACTCCATTTGCAATCTATCACCTCAGGACTCGCGGCTGATCTTTGGGGCAAGAAACTTTTGGCAGGTTTTGGCTTTGGTCAAGCGGTGGAACATGGTCAAACCTGCGTAAACCATGACAACTAGGCTAGTTGTTTATGCTTTCTCAAACCATCAAACCATATCAAATCCCTTGAAATCGTGGCCTCGCGCCTCACAATCCTGCAGTTGGCAAGATGAAAGCTCTTGTGTTGCTCCTTCACCTCAGAAGTGGCTTTCTGCTATTGCAATCATTTGAAAAACACATCAGTTGGCAAGTTGAACTTCAAAGCTTTGAGCTGCCCACAGCCACGGCCGCTGTTCGTGGCATAAACAGCTATCTGAATGTCCGGTTTGGTCCAAACATGAAAGTGTAAAGCGAGAAGAATGGAAAGCACTGGAAACTACAATGGAACGCATATCACAATGGAATTATATGGAATTATGTTACATGAACATCATGCACAGTCTTTTATTCCACACTATTGCTCAAGCAGGTGGCTGGCCTTTCGAAATCGCTCCCTTGTCCCTTTGCCACATGGCGCGTCACAATTCGACCTGAACAAGCCCATTCAGCATCTTTCAACATGTTTCTCAACATGTTTCAAGATGTTCAAACGCGACTTCGTCCTTTGTGCTAAAGCGAGAAACTTCACACAGCCATCAGGGCCGGGCCATGTTCCCCAGTGTTCAAACTTGCAATCGGAGAAGTCAGCCTCCCTGCATGTGTCCATCCTGGGCGACAGAAAAGCGCAAATCTTGAATCTCACAACACATGGCACAATGTAGTGAATGGAATGTGTTTCCAAACATCTAGATCAAATAACGGCCTGGAATTAAAAAGATTGCACGCCTACAATTTGCAGCCAAAGGTTTGCAGAGAAAGTAGCACAAGTCAGAAGCATTCACAGTACAGAACTGGATAAGGAGGTGCCCAGCAAAGGCGCGAGGCAACGGAGTGACAATGATGATAGCGTAGCCCTTGCCCAATATGGCCAAGAGAGTCGTAGGAAGTGACGCAGAACCATGGCTGGGTAGCAAACAGACAGGCTTTGGAAGAAAGGAAAAGTAGGTGCGTTGCAATACACGGACAGGTCACCATCATATCACCTTCCGAGCAGGATGATTTATGATCGCACAAAACCACACACAGAGGTAAACGGTAGAAATCGAGAGAAAACAACAAACGCTCTGGTCAGAAAGGTGAGGCCCTGAGGAATTGAAAAACCTAAATAACTAAAAGCATGATAAAGCATGCACTCGTAGATCTAAGTACACAAGATCGAGAGCATAAAGATGCATAAAGATGCATACAGCTTCATAAAGATTCATAAAATAGATTGCTCAAAAATGCTCAAAACTTGAACACCAAGCTCTTGGCCCACATGGCTCTGCTTGAGAAAGAATCTCGGGCAATTGAATTCTGAGAGTCGCATGTAACAATGTAACACAGTTCGAAAATGTTCGAAACAACAAAGCTCCCACACTGATTGTTGCACAACTGAGTTCTACACTGCATAGTTGCAGAAGCCGCCCTTTGTGTTTGGCTTCAACTTGGCAGGACTTTGGCATCAAGAGTTGGAATCAGAGTGAATCAAACCTGAATTGACTTTTTCAAAGCATCTTTGTCCATCTCCAAGTCGACCTTTCAAACCTATTGGTTTTTTCTCAGAAACATTCAAAACATTCATGATTTCGGAGCGATCAAAAGATCGAAGCATTGCATGCGAAGTGCCAGAGATCGCTTTCTGTACATTTGGCCTCCTCCGCATGTCCTTGGACTGAGATTCGAAAAGGTTCTGACGGTGACGTTTCTCTCTGTCATAGGTTGCACAATAAACCAACACGGCCATTGTATATACATCGAATGCTCTACCTGAAACGACCATGAAAATATAGCTGTGGATCAACAACCACTCTTTTGAACACGCGCTACTTTCTATCTATTCAGCGTCTTCGTTTCCAGTCGTTTTATGCACTTGCTGCTGCGTACTGTGGTTGGGGACACTTGCGCATGCATGTGCTGCCAGCATAGAGAGAGTCCAGGTTTGTTTGCATTTGTGCAAGCACTTGTTACACAATTGATGCCACCTGGTCATGCCTGGTCTCCATTGATAAAATGTGCCAAAGAGTTTGTACACATCAATTCAACGACGTGATAGCACAGAGGAAACCGTGGAAGTGGAGATGTGTGTAACCGTTACAACCTGGACGAAGACAAAAGTAAACAGATCCTAGAAATGTTGCAGCACACAATCTGAGAAACGCCTATTGACAATCCCTGAAACCTGGGCAAAATCAGACAACGCTGTGGAACATGATCGGGAATCTTCATCTTCTTTTGCTTCTTTCTTCGTCTTCTTAATTGTCTTCATATGTCTTCATTTCGCTGATTCTAGAGTGAGGATTTCTCAACAGGTGCTACAGTGCTACTGTAATCAACTTTGGCGATGCAGGTTTGCAAATGCGCATGCCGATCCACGGAGTTGTTGGAGCAGGTGCTACTCATACGCACCGGATGTGATTTTGAACTGATGTTGCTTGCAATTGCAACCACCTGAGGAAGGTTTTAGCTTCAGGTGGGTCAAACAAAGCGCAGGGAATCAACAAGTGCCTTGTTTGTAAAATGTGTTCTTAAAAACCTGTTCTTTTTCCACCACTATGATTGCAAATCTGGAATCTGAAACGAACTTGACAGGCTGGGGCAGCTGCTTTGAGCAATCGCTCCATTGCCTTGGCACATGTTTGAAAAGGGTTTGAAAATGGCAGAAAGCGGAAGATCCAAAGATTGCCCGTGACCATCGTCACCTTTGAGCAAGCATGGAGATTCAATCTCCTGCTTGTCCTGCATGTCCAAGCGCTGTTGCCACAGGGATCATAAAACCTTTAAGGTACTGTACGCAAACAAGGCTGAACATTGTGGCTTGACCCATGTGCCGCCGAAAACCCTTCAAACATGTTTCGTGATGGAAGTTTCTCTGCCATGACTGATGGGATGTGAGCTGGGCTAGTTTTCAGGTCACCTATATAACAGAAAGGTTTACTGCTTGCGATGTGCAAAGATACCTGCGTAGGTTTGATTGCTTGGTTGTCATCAATGGAAGTGAGCATGTATTACATACAGTATGTGATATGGATATATATATATATTTCTAGGTTGTCTTGGCATATAAATAGGAATCATTCATGTATATGTATAAATATATAATATATATATATTAAATATAGAGAGAGAGAGAACGTGTGCGTGACTCCATTCATGTTTGAGGACCATAACAGCATCAGTTTCACAAATAGAAGAAATGAATAGAAATGACATAGGGCTACAGCAACACCAAGACATCAGAGCCCCGAAAGGGAGGCCCTCATGCCCTCGGGCACCATCATCTCACACGATGCAAAGACCCCCTGAACACCCTCCAGACGGCTGAAACATCACTGAGACCCGTCTGGAAAATCACAGACACCATGGCTTTCAAGGATTACTTCGGAATACCACCATCTTGATGAGAGGAATGGTGGTAAGACAGGGAGTAACTGATGGGCCGGATGCCTTCGATGATGTACACTGAATAAGATAGAAGTGTTGCTTAAGTGTTGCAGAACTGTTGCTTCGTTGAGGTTCTTGCGACCACAAGCCAATGTCACAGTCTTCTCCCTCTGTGCTAGGCCTCAATACAGAAAACACATGGCAAAGACGATCAAAGGAGCGCAACAAACGTAGAGCAAACCTAGAGTTCCTGACATCTTCACAGTCTTCACTCACCCACTGTGCCAAGTTTGGGCTCCAAACGCATAGCAAGCCACTGTCCTGAATAGGTCCGAGCCAGCGAAGAGGCTGCATTTGGATCAAAAAAGCACAATGCTTCTAATCATCTAATCAGTGCATCTTCTTGTCCCTGGTCGTTCCCTGAATCGATTGGCTTCATGTATCTGCAACGACAATAGCTGACACCAAACGCATGCAGCAGTCACAGCAGTTAAGGTTTCAGCTGGATGAGATATTCGTCGCACGCACCTTGCAAACAATGTTTAAAGTATCTTAAAGTTATGTAGTTATGTATAGGGGTGATCACGGGTGTAAGCTGTGATGCTGTGTGGGCTGGTCAAGTCACAACGCCAAAAATCTGTCAGTTTCTTCATATTTATCAAAACACTAAGAATGGTTGCTGGCATTTGTACCATCTTCGTGCGAGTGGTCAACCTATAAAAGAAACATAATGCACATCAAAGCAACATGTTCGACTGATATATCTGACTCCACTCATGTCATCTTGGTGTACGAAACAAAACAACTGAAAAAAAGAAACTAATTCTGTGGATGAGCTTTGTGGCCCAGGCGTCCACCATAGCTTGGCGCAACTTCTACACTGCGACGCCGATAGCGTTGAGTATTCAAAGCCTCAGCCAAACAGTGGAACAGTTTCAAACATCAGAGGGGGGGGTGGAACATTGCAAGGAACTTCTCCCATGCCGGATTGGTCAATGGTTGTGCATGTCCATGTCTGACTGATATTGTGCTGCATATTCTCAGCTTTGAACTTCACACTCAGACCATTCACCCCACTGACTGAGCCTGCAAGTTCAGCATGCTTTTGTGAGCAGGACAATGCCCAAAAAAACTCAGCAAAAGCCAATGGCTTTCCGATTTCCAAAGAACCAACCCCTTCACCCCACTTCATTCATGCACTGGCTTTGTCTTGCATGGTATGGCAAAAAGCATCGCTGCACCGACGACATGCTAAATTCGATTTAAGAGGCCAATGCTGTCAGGGATGGCAAAGTCAATCTATCGATGTTTCTTAGACGGAACACACGCGTTGGGTCGGCTGTGGGCATCACACTTCGAGTTGCAAGACAACAGAATAAATCTCAGAATGAAGCATGTTGAAGAGTAGAAACCAAATAAAAGGCGTGCCTGCAATCTGTTGCCTGGCAGTCACCATTGTTGCAGGCCCCATTTTCCAAAGAAGATCCCCAGCAGGGAAGCCCACCTGAAAAAGAATCGTCTGGAATTGCGGCAGTTCACCACCAAAACAATTCGAAATAGTAAGTCAGGCAATTTTTGCACTGCAAACACAACATAGTATGTGAATGTTCCGAAGGTACGCTAAACAAACCTTTACTGATTGATGAAAACTGTGTCCGTTGGTGGCTGTTATTTTTCTTGGAATTCATGGATTCTACTGCTGCAATTGCAGCATATATTCTACCATCGACATAATATGTTTCATTTCATAATAATGTTTGTCCTCCAAAACCATCGAACGCCTTTCAATTTCAATCACAGCAGAGCGATATATATATATATATACAGTGAAGATATTTTTTAATAAATGCCCTGCCTGGATCTGATTTTCTTTCGATTCTGCGCATCCTGTTTGAATTGAATCAACCCACCTCGCTCCTTGAAACATCTGCTGAAATCGAAACTTGTTTGAAGGACAAAGTGCGCCTTTCATGACGTCCGTCTCCGCATGAAACACTGCACCTCATCCATTCTTACCCAAATCATGGGATACACAGTTCCACAAAGTCTCAAAGTGCTATGTACTTACACTGCGCGCTCTTCACGTCAAAGCAAATGCGAAACAACGGAAAATACGGTTAGGGACGAATGGTCATGATGGTTAGTCTTCGCCAGTTGATATCATCATAGCAACCAAATCATGTCAAGCAGTTGCACAGTAACAGTCCGGGGGCGTGTGAATTTGCAGATGAAACCATGGAAGTGTGTGGATCCCTTAGGCTCTGTGTTTCCGTGGGCGCAGGCCTCAATCTGCAAAAAGTGCCGACAAAGAAGCGCACGGCCATTTTTGGAAGATGAGGTCAGAAAAGTGTGCACGAGACTGTGGGGAGAGCTCGCTTCACGCAGACCAGCACCGGATTTGCACGCGGTCGATTTCACGAAATGGCATCGATTCGATGGTGCATCCGTGCTAGGCGGGATTGCAACTTGTTGTGACGAAATGCATTGGCACGCCTGCGCACATGGAAGCATTGGCGACGCTGCAACTTTCCTGCTATGCTTTGCACCTGGAGGTTGCAAAATGCATTGTAATGGGAGCACGAAGAGAAGAATTACCGGGCAGGAGCGGGTCAGAGAAGTAGCTGAGTTTCCTTGGCATTCATCCTTTCGCTCACTCACTCATTTATATACTCATTCACTCATTCACTCATTCACTGATTCACTCTTTCTTTCTTTCTTTCTTTCTTTCTTTCGTTCTTTCTTTCGTTCTTTCTTTCGTTCTTTCTTTCTTTCTTTCTTTCGTTCTTTCTTTCTTTCTGTCTTTTTTCTTTCTTTCGTTCTTTCTTTCTTTCTTTCACTCACTCACTCGTTCATTGCATCATTCATTTCATTAAATGTCATGTCATGTCATATCATGTCATTCATTGATTCAGTTGGTCGGTCAGTTAGTCGGTCCGTCAGTCAATTGTTCTTTTTGTCTTCCCTTTTCTTTAACTCATTCATCTCTTTGATCTCATGTCATTTCATATCAGTTCATTGGCATCGCAGCAACCTTTTAACCATGCATTGATGCACCTCACAACCTCAATCTCTCATTGCTTCTGCATGCTCACAGACAATCCTATAGGCCAATGATTTCTTGTAGCAATTGTTTTTTCCGAAACTTCCGCCACGGCACAGCCGGGCCCTACTGGTCTAATATGAAAGACTCGTGTAAGATTCTGTAAGATAATGTGTGAGACAACATCTTTGAAATTATGTGAAATCATGTCAGTCGTGTCTTGCCCCACCTGCCCCACGATCCCCATTGCGTCCATAGGCAGCTTTGTGGGCCATCTTCGCTTGAGCAAGCCTCGGAGCCCCCCTGTCGGCCTGTCTGTTTACCCGTGTCCTGTCAAGTCTGCCTTTGCACCTAAAGAGCCATCCCTAAAGCCATCCCCGAGCAAACTGGTCCTAGCTGAACAGGCAGGCATCCCAAATCTACGTGAAGCTGAATGAACAGAAATTTGCTCAGCTGCTACGTCTGACCCACAAATCCATCTGGACAAAGATCCGCAAGAACCCATACAACAAACCTGGGTGCGACAGAATAAAATACAGTACAACAACTGCGTATACAACTGCTTCAACCGCCTTTTAATTCATGCGCCTTCCCTCAAAGCTACAGACCAAGACCAAGACGAGGATCCAAAGGTCATAAGCTTACAGCATTTACTACAGCATCCGCAGCATAACTTTTAACTAGTTTTAAGATCCCCAAGTATTCTTAGGCTCCCAAACAATGACACAACGACCTGCCTTGGTCTCGTTCAATGGTCCGCGGCAAGGATTCCTAGGCAGCAAGAAAGAGTGAAAGAAAGAGCGAAAGAGAAGCGCCGTCTGTCCAACCCTTGCATCACGCTAAGGTCCATGCCCTTCTGGGCTTGCTGGCTCCTCAATTCCGCGAAACCGGATGGATTGGTCGTAGCCTCAGTAATCCGGACAACTTTTGGATGTCAGGCCAGTCAAAACTCAAAACGTTCGCTTTGCATTCCATAAGGGGCTGGCTGGAATTACAGCTACTCCACGAAGACCAAGCCTTTGTGCCAGTGCCAAACAAACGACTTGTCCCATGACTTGGCCCCAAAATGACCCAAACGTGTCCCTCAGAGTCCAACAGAAAAACTACAATCGTAAAGCTCTTCACAATCCACAACGTCCTGCCGTTCTGATTCTACCTGCCAGAGGTCAACAAGTAGAAAGAGTCGATGTCAGCAAGTCTTCATCAGCAGCAATGAAACCCCAAAAGTAAGCAATCCACATGATGTACAACTCTACAAGACTCTATGAACTCTAGCATGTCCTGTCACACTGTCACATGTTCATTTGAATGTCTGGATGTCTGCATGGCCGCTGACATTAGTTCATCCCCAAAGCCGCTCTTGAAGCAGTGGTTTCATGCCCTACAGTACTTGTGTTGTAAAGCTTTCCTTTCCTTCTAGACCCGTGTCAACTGTAAAAGAAGCGCTCCACAAACAATTGTACAGAGACAAAGCGGAGCAATCAAGAGCCAAAATCTGCTTGAATCCAGAACCAGCAAACTAAGGCTTTCACAATAAACTTGTTTCTTGGAAACCAGGGTTCAAGTGGCCAAAAGTAAGACGGAACTGCAGTATTATTCTAGCCTTCGACAGAGATGTTTGTGTGTGTGCCCTGCTGCTCTTGACCAAGGCAGTCATTGATCTTTGCTGACTCCTTTATCTGACTCTGTCGCTAAGAGGGATCGTTTGCCAAGAGGATTGTTTTCTGGCTGTCGGTGATTTCGGTTGGGTTTGCCATTACTTTGACAATTAGCAAAGAGGAATAATCTTCCAACATCATGAAATTCGGTCTTTCGGCATGTGTGTGTGTGTCTGTGTCTGTGTCTGTGTGTCTGTGTGTGTGCGCTTGTATCTACAAGCAGCAATCCCCAGGCGCACTGTTGGCCCACTGCAAGGATATCCACATTCATTGTTGGCTGTAGTGACCTGGACAGCTCGAATTGCAAACTCTGCTACAGTTTATAGTTTATTGGCACACATTGGCACACATTGGCACACATTGGCACACCATTCATTCTGCTTGACTCTTTGACTTTTGTTGCAGTCTGATTTGTAAAGTATCTTTGACATCTTTGATCAATGGAGGCCACAAAGGCCGCCCCAGGAAAAGGAAAAAATATTGCCAGGTTCAGACATGCAAACAAAACGGCAAAACAACAAACCGACAACGAACGACAACGATCGAAAACGACGAAACCCAAACCGGGATGCAAAGTATGGCATTCGCCTCTCTTCGTCGGTAGCGTAGCCCGGTGCAGCCCCCACTGCTGTACCACTCCTTCCATTGTCGTTGGATGATGCTTGCATTGCTGCATGATGATGTGTGTAGTCTTTTATTTATTTACTTTTTTTGGACTGTTTCTCCCTACTGACATGCTGACATCAGCTAGAAACTTCCGGCCTGCCAATGGCCAAAAATACAATCTTGTGGCTGACATGGCCCACCACATTCACCAAGATCTGGACATTTGTCCTTGGACAAACTTGTGCAAGGCTCAACTTGAAATAAAAAATGCCTCAAGGTGCAGTTGCATCATGTTGCATCACCATTCTTCTGCCTGACCCCAGCCATGATCGAAGGTGTTTCTGGGGAACTTGACTAAGGATCTTGCCCATTCCTCATCGTATCCAGTGCATTCTCTTTGGAAGCCTGAGGTTGCAGACAATGATCGCAATGCATGTGTGGTATTATTGCCTGCGCCCATGTGTTCGTGATTGCTTGCGTGTGTTGGAGTGCGTGCCAGTTGCAGCTCTGAGAAAGGTGTGGCAAAATTAAAATGGAAACCGGCTATATTATCTATAGTTGCGAATCAAAACAAACTAAGATGGCTGCGAAAATCAGATGGGCTCTCCAGTTCTCTCGTCAGCCTCAAGTCAGGATGAATTCCCTAGTCATCTGTTGCCAGCACATCGCCACACTTCGATTGTCAGCAAACATGTAGAATACGAGCTCAAACAACTTGAGACGTGAACTTCTGTGTATAAACGGGACAGACCACAAAATTGGAAATGACCGAAAGTGAAAAAACGCGGAGGACAACCCCTTGCAAATCGTTCCGCCAGGCAGTGAGATCCAGTGGGTTCATGATAGAAATGATACTAGCAGGTTCTTGCATGTTTTAATATGTTTCAATATGTTTCAATATGTTTCAATGTGTTTCAATGTGTTTCAATATGTTTCAATGTGTTTCAATGTGTTTCAATATGTTTCAATATGTTTCAATGTGTTTCAATGTGTTTCAATATGTTTCAATATGTTTCAATATGTTTCAATGTGTTTCAATGTGTTTCAATGTGTTTCAATGTGTTTCAATGTGTTTCAATGTTTCAATATGTTTCAATCTGTTTCAATATGTTTCAATATGTTTCAATGTGTTTCAATGTTTTTCAATATGTTTCAATATGTTTCAATGGGTTTCAATATGTTACAATATGTTTCAATGTGTTTGAATATGTTTCAATATGCTTCAATGGGTTTCAATATGTTACAATATGTTTCAATGTGCTTTAATATGTTTCAATATGTTTCAATGTGATTCAATATGTTTCAATATGTTTCGATGTGTTTTAATATGGTTCAATACGTTTCAATACTTACAAGTAAAGTCAAGTGAATATTCGCCATCTATCTGCAGCTTGTGTGAGCACATGAGCAACATAATGCTTTGATATACTGATGTAGTGTTGAAAAATGGAATCGGCGAGAGGGACTATTTGTTCTCTCAAGCACATCTTGTGATCCTTACTGGCAGTAAAAAAAAGCTCCAGCAAAATAGTGAGGAGAATCAAATGAAACAACTCATGGCGGTAGGTTCAGGACGAATTGCCACAGGGTAAGGTGGCAATGACTAAAAGGAGTCGAGCTGGCATTACCTGCAAGCAAAGTTCTGTCCCATGTCTGCAAGAAGTAGAGCACTTGAGTCACTTGATTGGCTGCCTGAGCTCCCATAGCTGAAGGAATTTCTAAAGTGCTGCATCTCTCATCATCTCAAGAAGGCTGCGGCATATGCAACTCCAATGCTGGTCCTGACCAACCTGGAAAAAATCTAAGTGAGGAAGCACCTCTCAAAACATGTGTTATATGATGTTACACCATTGGGAATGTTCCATCCCAAACAAATGTTTGTGTTTGTTTCTCCCATACTGTGCGGTGCTCAACACCTGTTCCCTGCATGAAGTCAAGAACACAATGCAAAGCCCAAAGCAAAGAGTCAGGACATCGTCGCGCTTTGTTGTGGCCAGGCAAGCTTTGACAACTTTGAATGCCCAGCTGTGAAACGCAAGCCGTGCAAATAAAGAAGCACAATGTCCCAGACAGTTCCAGACAGTTCGAGAGACGTGGGATTCTGCAGATTCCATCCCCTTTGGGGGCTCTCATTCCAACACGTGTGCCAGTGCCGGATTGCCCTTAGCAACCTGAGCCACGTAGACAAGCAGGGAACGAGGCAAGAGCTCACAAGCGGAGAGAAGAAGTTAATCTTGCAAACTGATCAGAATACACCCCACTGAATTCTTAAGCCTGCTGCTCAAGCTGTCGCTTCGATCGGTATGGCACTGGCAATGGTGTCTTCCTCTTCCTACAATGGCGCAAGTCGGAATTTGGAGATAAGTGCTAAGTCACTGAGGATCCAAGTGCGTCCTGGGCCAGTTCTTCCTCCTGTTCCAGTCCAACGCGCACGGCCATTTCTGTTAGCAATGGAACAGCAAGGCAGCAAGGCACGAAACACAATGACAATTACCATAATGCAAACATCTCAAACATCGCAAGCATCGCAAGCATCACAACATCGCTCCGCAGCAAGCCACCAATGATCGCTCTCCACGTCAAGGCTTGCAGGCGCGTGCTTTGCCCTGCCAAAGCCAATGCCTTAGCAAGGTCAGCAAGATCGAGCACTGGCGAAAGAGATGGCAGTGATGGACAAAATTGACCAAACAAAATGTCTCATTAGATGGCTTTAAGTTGTTCTAATGGCATCGCGAGCAGGTCAATCCGCAATTGTGTGCACATTGTCGACGGAATGGGGTGGATCAACGAAGTAGGGAGTGTTGAATTTCACCGTGCACTTTGAAATGTAAGTCCTTCATACATGAGACCGCAGACCAATCCTGCCAACCTTGACCACCTCATTTCAAACTGGGCAGCTTCGGAGGAGACAACTGACAGGAATGCCAGGCATTGCCAAAATATATGGACGCTGATATCCTGTTGAATAAACCGAACAAACCACGTGCCGCAACCACAACACTTCTTCAGCCGGTGGACTCAAGGAAGAAAAAATCTCGACCCCTCAAGACAAGAAGAGAGCACAAGACTTTAAGAGAGCAGTCGATCAAACGAAGTCAAAATGATGACTTGAAATCAAGGTCACGTTGCCAAGAAAGCGGAAACAAAGATCCACCTCTAAGTTGAAACTGAGGCACGGTTCTAAGATTAATTTGTCGATTTCCTGCAAAACGTCAAACAACATTTGATTTATAGCCATGACTCGCTCAGGTAGAAGCATATTGGTTATGAAAGGCAATTCAAAATCAATAAAGAAGAGAAAAACTATGGCCGCCAGCTGCAATCTGCTTTGTGACCTTTGCCGAAAGGGATGGTGTGCAACTGCTAAGCTTCTTATGAAGGTGTCAGTTCTTTACTCAATGACGCACATTTCAGGAATCAGAGGTCCCGTGGGTTCAAGTCCAAGCCAATCACTTGAGAAGTGTCTTGCGGAAACACTTCATGAAGGAAAAGTTGAAATACACTAGAGTGCTTAACTTTGCACCCGTTGAACTTGATGCAGTCTGAAATTACTTTTTCAAACTGCGAACTTGATAAATAGTGGTATTGGTTCGATCTAGTTGCGTTTTTGCGCTTACACAAAGCGCTGCCAAAACCACATTTTTGAACCATGTCTTAAACACATTCTTCGCAATTTGGGTGAAGGAACCTCAAGCCAAAACCCTAAACCGTGAAAAGAAAAAATGCCCCAACTCCAATTTCATTGAAACTTTGCAATAGGAAACAGCAACAGGAGGAAGGCAAGAAAGCAAAGGGTGAAAGGGGTGAGGTGCTCTCAGAATATATAAGTTGTTTTTTTTCCGCAAGGAAAGAAAGAAAGGATGAGCTGCCTTTGGTTCCGCTCCTGGTACACCCCTGGTACGCCCCCGGTACCACGCACAGTACGCCCTGGTACACTCCCCCTAGTCAGCTAGAAAGCAATTTGGTCGAACCGTAGCGAGTTTGATTGTGAGACTCTCTGCAACTGGTTAATCACCGGATCAAGAATGTTTGTTACGCTTCAGCTGGTGCAGCCCAGTGGCGTTTCTTTTCGGCATCGTACACTGTGTAGAATTTCCTCTATCACAAAAAAACTGAGCACAGAGTGTTCACAAACTTATTCCACAGCATTTTTTCCCTAAGCGGGTTGAATCTTAGGTTGTTCATACATGTTCATACTACGTGGCACAAAAGCAGAGATTGCAAATTCGGGTCGGTCTTGAGGACAGGCTCGCCCAGAATGAACAACTTTGGCCCAATGGGCTCAGGCCTCGAAACATGTTCAACGGGTCCATACAAGTTATGAACTTGGCACAAGACAACAGCAGATTCCACATATGGAACAATAGTCCTGCTTTGGGACAGTTCTTCAATTCTCTTTGCATTGAGCCCGAGGCAAATCCATAACCATTAGCATGGGCTTGCATGTCATGTCTCTTCTCGTGTTCTCCTCTCATGAAATGCAGTTGCTGTGCTTTCACTGAAACACGGTCATGATAAAGAAACATTAAAGATTTAGCATTCGCACATCATGTTCTGCTCACGGGAATGTACCACAACTATATACATCCATAGTCCATGGGGCTAAAGCTCAAATGTGTATGTGTGTGTGAAATCATGTGAAATCCATGTGTCACACAGCAGGTCGAAGGGCCCGGTGGACAAAGAAAGGCTAGGGACAACAAAAAAAAGCTGGGCATGACATGATGTCACACATTGTGTTGTGTGGTCAGGAACATTGAAGCATATCAGAACTTTTTCCAGCACTGCAAACAAGTAAATTTCTCAGTATTTCTCAGATTCTCAACCAAACAATCCCTAACTTTGTGACACGGCTTACAGGTAACTTATGTAAAACGATTGAAAATAAAATGAACTAAAAAAACAAAACCTAATCCAAACTTCAATTAGAAAAAACAAAAAAAAACAATCCAAGCCTAATTTGCTTAAAAAAAACAAACCATTTGTTTTCGCTTTTTGTTCGGTCTTGTTTCGCTTTTGTTTCACTTTCTTCCACTTGTTTTGTTTTTGTTCGCTTTGTTTTCGTTTTTCCCGCTTTTTCCACGAGTTTTTTTACATGTTCGAAGGTCCCGGTCATCAGGTCACCTGAGAAAGAAAAAAACACGAAAAAACAATCAAAAAAAAAGAAACAAAGTGCCAAAAAAAAGGAAAAAAAGCAACCGCATATGAATGTATATCCAGTTTGTTTTTTGTTTTCTTTTGCTTTTATTTGCTTTTTGAAAATAGTCGTTTGGTTTTGTTTTGCTTTTGTTTTTGCTTTTTTCAAAAAGTGGTATGTTTGTTTTTTTTGCATTGTTTTTCGCCTTTTTTAGTTTTTTTAAATTCCTTAGGAGTAGGCTTAAGTTAAGGCATTTCACAACCCTAACTGACAGCCAAAAGGAGAGACGGTCCTCTGCAGGGGAATACGCGCGTCCCCATTCCGGAGTGCTAGGCACCGACTTTTGGTCTAGTCGGCTGAAGTCCTGCCACACACCAACAGGACTGGGCTGCCCGGGCTGACAAGTTTCTATACGAGAGACATTGAAAGACCCTATGCATCTGGCCATCCTCTCCGTCAAGCTCCACAGTGAAACCTTCCAACTCGATCTGAAGGCGGGGACTACGCCTCGATGAAACAAGTTGGATTATGAATGAAAACGTACCATTCCGAATTCCGAACTGGATTTTCTTTCACGTAGCCGAAAACAAAGCTTCGCACGAAGAACACTCTCCCTCCAACGAGGCAGGAGACCTGTCAAAATATGCTAGATTCAGGGCTCAGCATGTGACAGATCCCTGCAGGCAAACTAGTGCCTACCAGCCTGTTCCAAGTCACACAACGCAAGATAATGCAAATTTTTATGTCACTTATGTCAGTCCTTCAACTGGGATAAAGTTTGTTTGCTGTGTATGGCAAGGTGGTGAGGAGACCTTGATGCGGTACGATTACGTATGTACCGAATGTGAGATGTTTGGAAACACGGAGAACTCCAAAGCACTTGGACGGTATCAAAAATATAAAACATCTACATTCTCATTCTCAACAAATTTTGATATATTCTCGACAGTATGTGCTGGTTTGGGACGTTTCGAGCTCTGCCCGCTTTGCCTAAGCATCTCGTACAACTCTGGAAAAATTGGAGTGGGAACTGCCAGCAAAGAAGTTCCGGAGTCAACCACCGCCTGACAGTCAAAAAGTCGGGTCAAACATCTCATAAGGAAGTTTCAAATGGACATGAAATCAATACAAACATATTCGAACCACGTAAAATCACAGCTTCCAGGTAATGGTTCCCGGTTTTAGGGTTCCATTCCGTTTTGAGTGCCGGGCATCCGTGATGCACCAGTCCAAGACCCATAGACTGCACCCAACAAACCCTGCTGTTGGGAATATCCAAAATATGAAAATAAATGGTAAACCAGGCACTGTCGACTGCTGGACTTTGTCCCATCATTCCAAGCTCAAGGCGCCTTGCAGCCTTCGTTGCAGAAGGGCAATATTTCGCCGTCAACTCGGAGTTCCTTAAAATTGACTGCACAGCGGCACAGCTGCATTTTAGACGTGATGAGAAGGGTCTGTGCAAATTGGGTTGATTTTGGGTAATGGCAAATCTGCAAGTGCGCGATTTCAAATTTTCCAGTTCGTTTTCCTGGAAAACTCATTGGTTTCGGCGGCTTTTCAGGCAACCCCACCTTGATCTGCAGAAGCCAATGTCCAAGTTCAGGGTCAAGAACAGGACTCCAACTCACCTCAAGTGAGGTCTATCTCCCCCAAAGTTGTGGTTGCTGCGTAAAGTGGAATCAACAATGATGCCAAACATATCCCAAAGGATCAGGAGGTCACTAAATATATTATTTAAATGGCACTGCACTTGTAGGTAAATAGATCAATAGATAGATCGATTAGATAAATAAATGCATGAATGGAATGGAATGGAATGGAATGGAATGGAATGGAATGGAATGGAACGGAACGGAACGGAACGGAACGGAACGAATGACTGAATCAATGAATCAATGAATCAATGAATGAATGCATGAATGAAGGAATGAAGGAATGAAGGAATGAATAACTAAAAAATAAATACGGCAAAGATGGACAAATATATAAACAAATAGATACATACATAATTAATCATACATAGTCCCTGGCCATTTGCACTGCTTGGCAACCTACACGTCTGCAGCAGCATTCCTTCAGCATGCATAGCAAAAATGAGGGAAAATAAAATAAAACACATGGAGAAAAGAGGGAGCCCTCTGGGTCAGGAGAAGGATTGCTCGGGCTCCTTGTTCTTTTTAAGGTGTGATTGTATACAAGTTGGTCGAAGGATTGCTGGGGCTCCTTGTTCTCTTTAAGGTGTGATTGTATACAAGTTGGTCTTTGGCTTTGACCAGACCGGGGAGCACGGAAATCTTGTCAGAGAGTTTCATCACAGGAAACAAGGAAAAATGAAGCCAAAAAAACACGAAGCAACGTTGAAGCGGATCTTTGTGCCTTGGGATATGCTGCTCACAAGCGCTTTAACACGGGACCTGTGGAATATGTACGGTGGACTTAAACCACCGAAAAATCAGAGCAAGCCACTGATAAGAAAGAGAAGAGTCGTAAATTGAGGGGATTGGCCCCGTGTCGCGTGGTAGGGTTCGTGACTGCAAATCTAACGCTTTGGACGACAAGTGAATTGGAAAGGGGGAAATGGACCCCCACAATTTCTGACTGCAGTCTCCCAGAACGCCACTCGCGGCCCTGCCAGATTGGCATGCACTGTAGCACTGCTTGCCCCTTCAATTTGCTGCAGGGGCGACTGCTTCAATAGGAGTGCCGGCCATACCATGCAAATACTTGAGGTTGTAGGCGAAGTGATGCTTCTGGAGCTTGCCAATCTCAGGGTAAAAGCGAGATGTGTCTGCAGCATACCTCGAGTCAATGGAATCGAACTGGAGTTAAGTGTAGTAGGCTGCATGCGAGCCTCCACGAGAAAGTTGTAGTTGGGTAGGAAGGTGGTTTGGTCGCTTGTCCTCTTCGAACCGTGATTTTGTTTTTCAAGAGCGGGGACAACGCGCACTATGTCTGGTGCCAGAAAGTCCTGTCGTGCTGTAGGAGAGCGTCTCAAGTCTGGTTGGAGGCTGCAGTCCATCCATCACTTTTAAGCTTCTTAGGAGGTGGGGTTGACCGATAGGAGCTTCTATACTGCTTGCTCACCTCAGGTTCCTCTGAAGAGAGATCTGACATAATAAAGCTAAATGCAGGAGCTGCTTGTTCAGGAGGTCCTGGAAATCCATCATCGGACATCACTGGAGTGGCCATGGCTCAGGTTACACGGTGTAACTGCATAATGGCGAAAACGAAGACGCAACATAAACAAAGTAGGGCACAGCCCAATCAACATGTGGCAAAATCAAAAGTAGTAGAGAGAAGGATGGGAATGGTAAGAATGATGCATGCAGACATGTTGACAGCATTGCTGAAAGTGTGGCAAAGCTAAAGTTTGTGCCAATTGATTACATATACGTATATATATTACAATCATTACATTACATTAGATGACATATGATTACATTACATTGCATTGCTTAGCATTCCTTAGCATTGCTTTGCATTACATTCATACCATACATAAATACGTAGATACGTAGATACATAGATACATAGATAAATAGATGGTTGGAGAAATACATAGTTATATAAATAGATGGAGAGATGGTTATAGATGGTTGCAGATGGCTAGAGATGACCTCAGAGACTTTGATGCCTTCTGCAAAATCTCTACTACTGTATCAACTGGCTGACACTCTTACAGGCCTGTACTTGAGACGCTCACCTGCTCTTCCAGGTGCTCTTCTCTCCATCCACCCACTGTAATTTGGCTTGTCTGACAAGGTGAAGATATGCCAAGCTTGGATTCAAAGTTGCAATTTAAAGTTGCAAACACTTGCAAACTGATCATTCTGCACAGCGAACAAAGTTCTCTGAGATCCATCTGAACGAAACAGCAAAACTGATGGGATCGCAGCATGAAGAAAAGTGCGACAAGTGCTCCTCATCGTTGTGAACTGCGAGAAAAATGCCAAAGGTCTTGCTGAAGCCACTCCCACGCCTAGAAACCACAGTCTCAGACCACTTGCTACTTTCTGCTTTCTTGCTGTTTCACTATGTCCAAAGTGACACATCGAGGAAGCTTCAATGGCTTTTGATTCAGCGAAGACAGAACATATTTGGACTATATTAGGTACAAAATAAAACATTAGACTCCAAGAATTCTAAGACCAGTGCTCACTTGTGAGACCAGATGCTACCTGCGTGGAGTGCTCAGCAACTGTCAGAAGGTGCTTGAAGATTCCATGTTCTTTTGTTTTTGACTGCAGCAGTCCGCGCTTTTGATGTCTCATGTTGGGCCTGCAGGAAGTTGAAGGCCGGGGTTTGTGAAAGGCTATCCAAACCCAAACCAAGAACACCATCAAAGATGAAATCCTTGGAGCACCGATGTCAAAATCTCAGTCTGACATGAAATCTCAGCTTGACTTTCAGTGCTACGATTCTGCCAACCCTTAATCGAAGGTGTAGGAACTTATCTATTCCCGGTCATGTGCTGGGCCCAGAGCCTTGAAAGGATCCGCAGACATGTCCTCAACGCACAGTGACAAAGACCCTTGATTGCTTTGGAGCAGATTCATAGCCAAGAAACTGTTGCTGCAATGAATCTCATATCTGCGCAACTTTCACCTCCCTGACCTTGCGAGCTTGAATAGGATGATGGAGGAGAGGAATCTTATTTGATACTATGATGCGTTGATTCGCCAGAAGTGTAGGGACAGTATGGGCTTCAATAGCCAAACTTAATGATTCTAATGTTTCTTGACCAGTTGCGCACTCTTTGTGCACTGGAAGAAGTGAGCTGCAAGAAATTATCTGCCAAATGTAAACTCGCGCTCTGCACTTGCTTTCAAAACAAATGTGATAGGAAAATTATGGAAAACTAACACCCTTGCCTGCAACAGGAACATTTGTGCTGCTGGTGTCAATACCAGGACCCCTCTGTCCAAAGCATATGACATCCTGCAACACATGACACATCATGGAACATTTGCACAATCCAAAATGCTCTGGTGAGGCCCTTGATCAACGCACGCAAGACATTTTGTATTGATGAACTTCAAGCCAATCCCTCCAGGCCAAGAATGAAGTTTTCAACACAGGAAGACCTCGCCACTCTTATGACTCCACGACCTTTTCACAGCTGTTCTGCGTGCCCGATCCTCGACAAACACTCCAGTTACCTCTCCAGTGCCAAATGATACCTGCAAAGTGCAGAGATGTGCAGAGTATTCAATGCCATTGATGCTCTTGCTTTGAGACATGGTACAGCCGCTTCTGGGATCTTCTAGGTCTTGGGATCTCTGGGCATTGTTGAATCTTCTGAATGTGTTCTTTTGTTTTGTTGCCAAATGGGTGTTGAACTTGCAGCCCTGGTGCAGTGATTTGGTCACGAGCTTCTCCTGCTTTGACCTCAGTATCCAAAGCAGATGGCAGATGTTGGCAGTCCAAGTGGGAAGAGCCAGCGCTTTCAAGAAATTTCAAGAACACACAAATCAATAGGGACTTGTCCTTGGCAAGCCAGGCTTCTGGCCAAACGTCCATCCCAATCAATGTCTTTGGCTGTCCCTGAAGCACTCCGTTTGTACCTGAGGCACAAGAAGGGGAGGATTGAACTTCTGAAAGCCTTGAAGAATCGAGGCTGCTCCTGACACCCACGGGCATCCCACCTTCGGTGCACTTTGCACGTCTCTGTGTGGCAGTACCTGTAAGGGCAAGGGCCATCGAAAACGTCCAGAAGACTTCGTGGCTGTCAGCAGTTTGTCTTGCGGCAGGGCACGAGCTCGGAAGTATGAGATGCCCGCTCCCTGTGTCAAAGACAACTGTGAAGGGCTTTGGCCTCAGGCAATCGGACCAATAGACAAAACAGAACAAAACATAACAAAGCTATATAGCTTTTATAGCTGCTGAAGATTGCGCAAGATAAATTGTCACTTGAAGTTCACATAAGAGCAATGAACCGTTCTGTCGCTCTTGAAGTGATGACAAGCTGGCAAACTCAAAGGTCAGGGCGGGCTACCCACCATGACCGTGCCATAATAAGCACTCTTGTAGTGAACAACATCGTTGATGATATCGATCTCCTGTAGACACATTTGCTTACTCTCTTTGGCAGTTCCGTCAAGAAGTCCGTAAGCATCATAAGCTCCCTTGTACACATCGATGAAGTTGAGCTCCTCCCAGCATTAAAATTATCTAGACAGTCTAGGTCTAAGCAGCTCCGTTCTAGGTGGGTCTAAGTGGTCTAGACGGTCTAGACTAGTGCACGCACATGTTTGTTGGTGGAGATGAACTTCCTCCCGCTGGTAGCCGGACGAGCCTAGGGGAAGGTACTGCGGACAAAAAACCTATAGGAAAGGCAGGAAAGGGTAAACCTGCAGGAAAGATCAGGAAAGGAGGTTGCGAGATTGGCTGATGACTTTCTACCTCACTGAACGCTTGTTTGAAAGATTGAATTTTCAAACCGCTTGACTGGTTAGTGGGGTAACCCTTGACGATTGGATTGTGTGATTGCTTCATTGATAGGTTGATTAGTTGATTCATTTGGTTACTTTGTTGTTGTTGTTTGGCTGATTGATTGGTTGGTTGCTTATTTGTCGCTCATTTGGTTGTAAGCTTATCAGGTTGGTTGATTCGTTAAATTGATCGGCTCATTGTTTCATTGGGTAGGTGGTTGTCAGGCAGTTGGTTAAGCTGCGAGAAGGTGAGTGCCGACTCCAAGTACAGTGTACTGGGTTCCTAGAGAAGTACCAGGAGCCACACGCACCTGTACCCGGGCTCACACAACCCAAGACGAGCCCATGTAAGAGCAAACAGATGAAAACGGGGCACAGATGGGCACAGTCAGTAAGATTCTAAACACTCCTGTTTTACTGCATGTACGACCCGGATCGTACGAGGCTCGAGGACTGCCCAAGCGGCAACAGCCCGGTCCACTCTTGGCCAAGCCATTGTATACATTACAATGCAATCAGCAACCATGGAGTGCGTTGCATAGTGGAAGGCATCAACCAAGTCAAGACTTTTTGTCCTCATGTACCAAGTGGAGTTCTGAAGAAAATGTCGCTGGATGTCGCTGGGACAGCAGCCACAACTGCGTAAACTCCGGGAGTTTCGCAACATTTTTCTGCATGCGGCTTGTGCCAATAAGGTTCCCTCCATGTAGCCAAGAATGAAAAATGAGTAAAAACACCGTGTTTCGCACATTTCCATTCGACCCGAGCTACTGCATGAAGTAGCTGTGCGTACTTTAATGGTAGACAGCGAGTTCATTCTTGCTGTGGTGAGTGAATGATGTGAACGTCTATATAACTATTATTCATATGTTTTTCGTAACTCGCAGGTTTCACATAAAGAATCCCATTTCCCAGCCAATCAGGTCATGGGAAAAGAAACAAAACTCTCTAGAACTGTCTAAGCACACCGGATACCAAAACCAGGATTTATTATTTATATAACTTATATAACTAAAATGATTGTTTTCGCGGCATTCCAGTTGGGGTCTTGTTGCTTGGAACAAGTTTTATTCGAAAATGCATGGTGACCTTGGTGACCTTGGTGACCTTGGTGACCTTGGTGACCTTGGTGACCTTGAACTCAACATCAAACTATCAAACCAAGCCTTGCTCTACGTGGGTATGGCGGCTATGGCGGCTATGGTGCTTGGGTCCTGCTCAGACCTTTCCAGGTTCAAGGTGATGTGACCCTCAGGCACATTGCCAGATTCCACCTGCATTGTCAGAAACTGTCACAGAAATTCGGACTCCTATGACCTAGATCCAGAACTTCAAAAAGAACATAATTCGATAATTCGATATATCTACAGCTCTATGTCTATGCTAGTTGGTGTAATCCAACATCCACAGCAACTTTAACGTTTCTTTCGACAGGCTGCAGTACAGAAGTACATGTGCCGAAGAACACTCGAGGCCTCTGACGTAGAAGAAGGAAATTCAACCAAAGAAAAGTTCGGCCTTGAGCAAAAAAATAATGACAAGCTCAGTTGACAGTTGCCAGCATTCCAAGCGGGCTTAGTGGTGCTAAGGCAAATGCAAGCTTGCATTGTCTGTCTCCAATATGAAGGGTGCTTCCTCTTCTGAAGAAAAGGAGCCTTGAGAGAGTGCGAGAGTCCAGTGACGGGTGCGGCCACGTGCTTCATTTGCTCCCTTTTTCTGAAAGTCTCAGCGGGGTATGCGCTTCCTGTGGCATTGAATCCAAGTTGCACAAGGACGCCGAACAAGGTGCCTGCATCAGTTCCAAACTGCTAAAGATATCATCTCTTGATATTGAAATATATTGAATGATATTGACTTCATATCCTTTGAATTCTTCTTTTGAACTCTTTTTTCCCTCGTCAAATTGTTCATTGATTTCATTGTTCGATTCTTGTAGTCACTATGTAGTCACTATGTAGTCACTATGTAGTCCTCTCACTTTGCCGCGGACATGTTGGCGCTGTTTCTCAGTGGTGCCAGCCAGGTGGGAAGCCTCAGCCGACAGCCGACACTCATGAAAGACAGCCTTCAGACTCTTCAGACCTGCAAATTTCATGAAAGTTGATTGATAGATATGAAAGTGCCTAAAGTATCCTAAAGTCCCTTGGAAATCCATCGAAGTTCGATTGCATCCAAGACCTAAGCCTCCTTAACCTAAGCAAAGCGGAGAAATTTAAGCCCTTTGCCACAGATGCAATTTGTTGTCGTACACTTAGCAGTGCCTTGCTCAGGCCACAGCTTCAGCCGAAAGTCAACGATTTGCTGAGACAATCGTTTGTTGTGTTTGTTGACCTTGGCAATAAGCTATACCGACTTCCCTCGCCTGCGTTGGAGTTCCGGCAAGCTCCTCAATGGAGGCCCACGGAGAATTCAAAGTTTCCTATCTGTATCATTTGTACAAAAAAAGTACTGTGATTCGGTGATAGTGATATGCTAAACAACATCGAGATATTGTTGCGATATGTATCGATATGTTAGAATGATGTTGACCTCTATGTACAGCAAGTCCACCACAGACCCCATGTTGAAAGCGCATGCAGCTGAGGAGCAGGAGTGACGACGGCGGAAAAACCCCTTGTCACCTCGGCCTCGAACCAATCTGGACGACACAACCAGGACTGCAGTCACAGCGACTGCAGCCGATTGCAGCTAAAGTGCGAAGTCTGTCCAAAACCCAAGGCAAAACTGGAGGTTCTTGAAAACGGATTTGTGAGATCACTGCGATTGCAATCAAATTTGTAAAAGGAGGTGTAGCAGGCGTCAAAACAAGGGTTCCACCATCCAGAAGAACGAAAATTGGACTGTAAAGTGAAAACAACAAGAGCAGCCTTCAACACCAAATCTTGGCTACTGAATGACAAGCGGAAAAACTGGAGAGTGCCGGAAACATGTTTGCATGCACAATGTTTACTGAACCATTGGAGACTTGCAAGGAAATGGTTTGGAAATGGTATCCACTGAGAGCATCATGGCCATATACGATCACAGTCATTAATGTTGCAACACGGGGGTTTTCAGTCTGAGAGTCTTGGTGAATCACAAGCCTTGGTAACAGCAGGGTCATCTGAGCAAATCAATGTTCTGGCCTCAGTTTCAAATGCCATACTGGAGCAGGTGGAAAATGGTTTCAAAATGTTACACGTGCAATAACAGTTGTGCGCACGAAAACGAACCGGTCAAGGAGCGCACGGAAAGAATCAGGACTGCGAACAAAACTGCTTGTGTAATCCTACGACGCAGAAACCAAGCACGGCCACTCAACAACCGCACCAATCAAATCTCCATCTCCCACTGCCCTTGCCTCTTCCACCAAAATGCCTTTGTCCACCATGGATCGGAAATTGAATTGTAGTGAATGTTGTTTTCTTGCAAAATGAAACTGCAATATTCCGTGCCAAAACAAATTGGCAACGTCAGCATGGAAGGGATGTCTTGCCTTGTGAGCAACTCTGTCAATTCGTGGAAAAGACGAGGTTGCACAAAAGAATATGGATGCACCTCCAACAGAGTTGTTGCAATGACATCTCCAATTCAAACCCAACAATGGCAATGCTGTCGGGGTTTCTGCACGACGCAGCCTGAAGCTTCACAACTAGGCTTTTCAAATAGCTGCAACATAGCCTCGGCATTTCCGGCACATTGACAATTCCATCATTGACATCAATTTCCCTCAGGCTCTCGCAGAATAGTTGGTAAGAGGCGTGAATCGGATGATGTCGAATGCACGTATCGGATAAGACAACCAGACCTCAGATAGTCAATCCAAAATTCGCAAGTTTCAAACGTTTCACCATCTGAACCGAATTTCAATATCAACCAAGCAGCGTCTGCAAGTGGCAGATCGTCAGCTGACAGTAAGTTGATCAGCTCGATTGGGTCCGAGCTGAAAAAACTTTCTCCGGACATATCCATCCGCAAAAACTGATTCTCAAATTTTGCACACATGAATATGTGCGCATGGCAATGGTATGAAACAAAATGCAATTTTTCACAACAGCATCTACAAAAAGAAACGGTTCAAAAATTGATTCCCAAACCAGTATCAAAACGCAATTTGCTGCAACTGGTTTTCAAGTCAAGCCAACATTAACACCACGTGGTTCGAACAATGTGCCACCATTCGGACAATCCCAAGTTTTTATGCGTACTGCGTTCCGTAAACGAGGCTACGTCAGCATACACTTAGCCCTAGCGTTAATTTGTTGATCAAACGTCACAGATGTCACATAAAGTTTTGGCATGTGTTGCATAAATTTCACACCGCCAGGCTAAGAGGCAAAACGGGATACAAAATTCATCCATTTATTCTCACACGCCACTCTTCTGAGAACTTTGAAGCTGCTGCCGCTGAAATGAGTGATTGCACAAGAATGACAAGGAAAGTCAGCATCAAGCATCTCTTTTCACAACTGGGCTGTTGTTGTCAGCCATCTTGGCTGCGGGTATGGCGTATTGCCACTGGTCCTGACATGGTGAAAGCGATGTGAAAAACAAGCCTGCAAAATGACCACAATGTCAAACAGGAGGATGTAGGGGAGGTGGTGGGTCTCCGCAAAAATTGAACACAAGGGCCCACCCGCCCTCCACTTGAACCAACAGGCAGAATCGTTTGAATTGCAAGACAATTCACGTTTGTGAATAATCTATTGTCACACGTGACATGTAGTTATTCTCACACGCCACTCTTCTGAGAACTTTGAAGCTGCTGCCGCTGAAATGAGTGATTGCACAAGAATGACAAGGAAAGTCAGCATCAAGCATCTCTTTTCACAACTGGGCTGTTGTTGTCAGCCATCTTCCCCATCTGTTCATCAACTGACAACATCAAGTTCCTCAAGCAATCACTGGCCTTCATTGACACATCTGTAAAACCCAGATTCGTCAAAATTGTCGGATCCCCTCTGGACGGGTCGTCTGCTAAATTACTGTAGGAGCTCACTCGAGATATCCAGCATAAGGTGTTTGTTGTAACTTCAATTTCAACAAAAACTTGAGCAATTGCGTCCACTACGCTGTTGTCTGATTTCCCTCTGATTAAACTGAACTTCGTTCCTTCATTGTCAACGTACAAGAAGCTCTTCTTGTCTGCAATAAACGCAGCCCACAACTTGTACGCAAGGACTGCACAAAGTGATTCGGTTTCAAATATGATTTGCTTCTTATTGGGCTCTCCCAATACCCTTCGTTGCTCTTCGTCAAGTTGGCAGGAGAAAAACAGTCTTAGGTCTGAGGCTTCGTCCACCAAGACTCCTCCAAGGCCGCAAACTCTGTCTCTTGCATCCCTTTCGTAGCAAGCGTCAGTTATGATCACCACTGAATGTTTGCTTTCACAAAACACTCGCCTCGGTGTACCCGAGTCCAACAGGCTTGTGAACAGTTTCAGAAACGTTGCCTCTCTCTTTTGTATCTTGGATCTTCTTTTACATGCAAACTCACGAAGTGTACCAATGCAACGTTTGCCTGTACGGCCATACAGTTGTGATTCCGCGAACTGCATCCGTCCTCTCAGTTTCTGCGCTTCAACCTGACTGATATGGCCCTGTTCTAAAATTCGGTTGATCTCTGCAGTTATTTCCAAAACTCTCGCTTCAGTGTTGTAAACTGCACATACGCCAGAACTCGACTCAGTTAAATTGAATACAACTCCAAGCGCTTCGCATTCCAGACCGAAGGGCGCACACTTTCTTCCTTCCTCCGCAAATGCCCATCCCAGCAGCTTGAAAAGGGATGACGCAGCAAGCTCTGAGCTTTTGGCTAGCTCCGGTTGGCTCAGCACTATAAATTCGTCAAAGAAAGACGACCACATGAGCTTGCACCCCACTGTACCTATCCACCAGACTGCTCTTGCTAAACGAAGGAAACTATGAACACTCCTTACAGCACCAAATGGCAACACCTGAGCTTGAAAGACCACCCATTTGTTTTCTTCCGGATTAAAAACTCGGATGTATGCAAACTGTCTACCTTCAGCGTTCAAGCCAACTTGTCTGTAAGCCGATGCCAGGTCAAAAGTGCGAGCAACAAGTTCCTTCTTCACCTCTTCTTTCTCACAACAAGCGAACCAATGAGCCACCGACGCACAAGCAACGTCAACTGTGTGAAGCACTGGAGATTCCGTAACCAGAACTGTTTGATTAATGGATGACTCACTGTAGTCATCTATCAGTCTCACCTTGTGCTTCTGCCGTAATCCAAATCTCTTCGATATTGGCGTGTCAACCGCCACTTCAGAAGGGTCCAACGGACCTACCAGCCACCCTTTATCTCTCTCTTCCAGGGTCTGACGCCAAACTTCAGCGTCAATCTCGATGTCTCCTGAACCTTTGCAGTCTCCAAATATTTGAGCGCGACGAAATTCAGCTTGTTTGCGTAACGCATCAGTGGTCAGCAACGCCGGGGTGAACTTGAATGGCAGCATACCAGTTTTGGGAACTTCTCCAATCAAAGATACGCCAACAATCAGTTCTTCCAGGACTCCCGGATCAGGATATTTGTAGTAATCCAACATCTCCTTAAACAGTGCCAACTTCTTTCCTTTAACTGCTTTTTCAACAACAGGATCCATAGACTCTCTGAGCGCCAGCTCCTCCGGTTGTAGTTTTTTCGCACGCTTGTGCCAAAACTTGAAAAATTCCAGTCTGTGTTTTGCTACTGCTACTGCTCCAGCTCCAGCACAAAATTCAACTGTCTCCGCAAGTTCACTAGGAAGAGCTAAGGCCGGGCTCATTGGATGGCTAACAGCACATGCTTGCCCCAAAAATTCTTGTGGCTCCCATTGAATTCCAAAAACTTTGACCGCATCAAACTTAAAACAGAAACTTTCTGCTAACGCTGCCAAGTCCAAATTTACTCCCCAGGCTTGTAATTCTGTATGCAACCGCTCCAAAATTTCAGGTTTGCTCTTTTCCGGTGCCGCTTCCAAACACTTCACGTCCACTTTGAACCCCACTTGAAAAACGTGCAGTTGTTTGCAAGCTTTTGAAACTGAGAAGGTAAGTGGCCAAACTAAGGTTTCATTTTCGAAGAATGCCACCAATTTCGATTTAAACGGGGGAACAAGAGGAGGAAGCTTCAACGTTGCTGTCTGCTCCATCGTTGCCGCTCTTGCAGAGTGTTGCAATGATGGCTGTGGTTGAAACTTCAATCCTTTCTGCAAGAGCTGAAGAATAAACGCATGCACAATAGCTTTACATAATGCTGGTGGGTAATGAACTTCCAGTGAAGTCGCAAAAACTCTTTTGGCACCTTGTTGTACGACACCCCAACTGTCGTGCTGATGATTTCCTGGACATACGGCATTTATGGTATGGACTTCCGGAAAGTTGGCTGTCAACCTAGTCCATTTTGGCCGCTTGCTGCCATATCCACAAGCTTGGTGCTCCTGAAAGTACAAATGCTTTGCTCTGTCCGACTCACTCCAAACAGTTGTCACCCAAAAGAGGCTGTTGCGAGGGTTTTCCAACATGAATAACTTATCCAGCAAGCAACAAAGTTCAAGCACTTCCGCACAAAAACTGTACAGCACGTTAGCAGCGCTTACCCTGATCAAATCTAAACCACTTAGAGTGGATATGCCATCTGGTTCTTCAAGAGTGCGCAAAGGTTTTGGGGGATTCATCCCAGGGATTTTGATTTCTCTTGCAGCCCTGGCTGTGCCGCATGGAGGTGCCATGAAGACTCCCTTAACCGCGGGATGTTTAATCCACTGAAGCACTGCTTGCTGATCTTCATGCTTGGTCAAATCCAAAGGCACTATAGCAACCAACGCTCCAGGTGTTCTTGTTTTGTCCACTGCGATTGAATTCACAAAACCACATTGTTTAAAACAAGCAGTCACGCCACCTGTCCCTGCAAACAGCTCCAAAATGATGCAGTCTGCCTCAGTGAAACCTGTGAGGCCTACGTCAAGTCAATCGTTTGCTTGGCGCGGCATCTCCTCTTTGTGTGCAACGCAAAACTGGTGACTCTTGAAACAATTTGCTTTGAAGCAAATGTGCCTGCCCTTTTTGCATGTGCCCCCAGCCGGAGCTTGATCGCACTCCGACAGATTGTAGTTGAAGCAAATTGGTCTGCCTCTGCTATCACGACCAACGGCTCCTTGGATTCCTCGAGGCGCAACGCTGGAACCTTTGGAGTTTGTTTTTCCTTTGCCTTTACCACCTTTTCGACCTGCAATGTAACCCTTTCCAGAATCCTCACTTCGATTTTGTGCTTCCTTGTTTCTAAAAGGTGCGTATGAATGTCCACTGCTAACAGGCAAAGGCATCTGTCAAGGCTTTGTCTAATGGCCGTTCTCTTCTGTCATTTGGGCGAATGTCCGTCACAGTCTGAGAAAGGTGCACCCAAACTTACCTGTCAGCACGAAGGATTTGGTTCAACGAAGTCGCCTGATAATTTGGTGGCGGGTCAGTGTTCAACCTCCTCATCAGACGATCAATGTAAGACTCATGCACTGAAAAAGACACCAGGTTTGCAAATTCATACGCAACGGCACGTCTACGCAAGCACTGTTGTAGTTTGTAAGCTGTGCTCACGTCCTCATCAGGTGTGTTTCTTGATTCCTTCACTGACAAGCTGTTTGCCTCAATCCTCAATTTTCTATCTGACTTCCCAACCATGACTTCTGCTTCCCTGCTGTTGCATTTCGCTGGCTCTATGTATCGTAGCAGCCTATTCTCATACTGAAAAACGCACTCATCCAATAAGGCTTGAGCTGGCTCATTCAGACCTGAGATGTTCAGCCCAGGGAATTGGCCCCTTAGCTGTTCCATCCTTGCAACACGCTCTGCAAACGGCAAAGGTTTCGGTGTTGAAGAATCACTGGGTTGATCCACAGAAGACCTGAGTGTCGCTGTAAGTACAATTTCAGCTTCAAAGTGTAAGCGCCGTGCAGCTGCAATGGCTCCCATTGAAGGCAACGTCCCTCCATTGACCTGCCTCAACCAATCCTCAAATTTGTTTTCATCAAACTCCTGTCCTGGCCGAGCAATAGAAAAAGGCCATATGGGCCATGGTTGTGACACCTGCAGCATTCAAAGCAGTCATCAACTCAGGAGGAACATTGTACTCTGTTGCCCTTGCATTGAAATACGCACAGCTATCAGACAAAGAAGCCATGTCCTACAACGAGACGGAGGTTGCAAAAGGAAAACCTGTCACCCTCAAATGCAAACGTCCAGTTCAACTGTTCTTGCATGTGCCAACATGTGAAAATTCAACTGTCCACAACGTAAATGACAATGACAAAAGTTGAGACTTGAAAACAAATGCACACAATTAACGAATGCCGCTTCAGCTGACATCTCTGACTGGAGCCTCAGTACTGCAATATGTTTCAACATATGTTTGATTCAACTGACGTTTCAACGCCAGCAACAAGCAAGCTGTTTCAACAGCTCTGTGCAAAGATTTGGAAAAGGTTGCATCAACCCAACTTTCAAGGTTCAAGCTCACATGAACCTCATGTATTCATTGAAAGCTGTTTCAACAGCTTCAAGTGGCTCAGCACTCACATTTTTCCGCTGCCTGCGCAAGGCAAACTCTCACACGTCAAAGCATCTGGAACACCTGATGCCGTGGAGTTCATACACCACCACAAAATGCGGGGATACTTTGCGGCCACACCGCAGCAATCCGGCAGAACGTTCACAGTGAATGACCAGCGACTTTCCATTGATGAAGTACCTCAGAACTGGCTCCACCTCACGTGGAACGTTCTCTTCCTCTAGCTCCACGTCACTGTCAGACGTACTCTGTTCGCTGGCCTCTTCCGTGGTCTCACTGCTGCTGTCCACCGCTTCTGCTGGACTGCTCTGCGCCCTGGGGCTGTTGGACATTGACTCAACAGGGCTAGCGACATCACGCTCCTCAGGAACCACCTGCCACTTCTCACCAACATCGGCCTGTTTGGCCCCAGCTGCCTGTGGTACCGGTGGCATGGGAGTGCTTGGCACTGGAGGCACTCTGAATGGCGTGCCAGGCACTGTCGGCATCACTGCCGGTGTCACCATGCCAGACCTTGTCCTGTCGGGCTGGAACAGGGCGCACCTCATTGCCTGCAGCATGGTGTCCAACTCTCTCAAAACTGGGGATATCAAATCCCTGCTGTAAACCGCCGTTGTGGCTGTTGCGCATGAAAGGTGTCGCGCCAGCACTGCTCTGGAAGTATCTGGCAAACCATACTTCGCCGTCCACGAAATGAGCGTGGACTTGAAGGAATGCGTTGACACCCTCCTCTCTGCGCTCTTCGGAGCCTTGAGGATTGCTCTCATGAAGTCTGCTCCTTCCTCAGAAGTCAAAGCACGTTTGCACCAAACTGTAGCTGAATCATTTGCTGGGGCTGGCATCATGGGTCCATAGCCGTGTTCAGGCAGCTGCAAATTTGCCTGATCCCTCAAGTTCAAATAGATGACAGCCCAGTTCTGATCGCTGATGCCCTGACACGGACAGACTATTGGTAAAAGCCTCGACTTCATCTCAGCTGATCTTGCACCCTTGTGAGCACGAGTTGAGACCTCCAGGTAGCGCTTCTCCTCGTCGATGAAGAGGTTGGCGACCTGTGTCAGGTCACTCCAGCGTGATCTGCTGTACAGCAGATGCAGACAGTGCCCGCAAAGAAGGCGGTCACCCAGCTCTTCATTGTTGTCGCCCAAGACCTTGTGGAGGACCAGCACTTCCTCCACAGTCAGCAGATCGGCTGGTCGCCAGGGGCGCTTGGCCGCCCTCATCTGCGATGATATGCCTTTCACTCGCAGACTTTGTTCTGCTTCACTCGCTCCCTCCACTCCGAGGAGAAACCACGAGAATCTCAAGGCCTCCAAAAGGCTGGACGCCTTTGTCGCAGCGGCGTTGGTCTGCTGCAACCACTGGACGTAGTTCCATACCCGGCGCTCGGACACCGCACCATTGTTCATAGGATTGCAGTGCATACAATCGTCTCAGCAGTGTACCAGCGCTTTTGAGAGCGAATATCGCATCTAAAATTTGCCAAGCACATTGTGCCACTGTATCGGCTGTTGATTCCACGGACACTTTTAAGCCGACCGCAGAAGAGCAAATGGAGAAGGCCAGTAGGTGCCAAAAACCTTCCAATGCATGCTTCCTACGTTTTGCCTTTTCATCCAAGATTTCAATGTCCTCAACTTTTCTCACTACTTGCATGAAGGCAGCTGTCTCAGAACGCTCAGGCTTCAACACTGTTCTGGTTGCAACTTGTCCATCTTCTCCGACTGTCAAATCCACATGGACCAAATTCCTACCTCCAGGCTGTAGTTTCGGCACAGGTACCTTAATAGTAGGCTTTGGCCCAAAAATGGCGGCCAATCTTCCTTTCTCCCAAGGATACTTGAATAGCGACAAGTCAGTAGACAGCAATGCATCACGCTCATGCTTGTGACCTGAATTCAAAGGCTTGGAACCGTTGGAACTGCCTGCACCCAGAAAATCATCTGTTGCAACATCCACTACAGTGATCGGATCCACTGTTTGTGCAATCTTCCCAATTTTCTGAGGCGGATCAAAATTGAATTGCTCCTCACTGCTTCGGCCAAACAAATCATCTGTATCGACTTCATGACCGGCAAGAGGAGCAAGGGATTGTGTGGTTGCCATGGAGGCCCATCGCTTCCTGAGGCCACGCACTTCAGACCTCGACTGTGTGGCCTGATCAGAATGTTCCTCATCGCCACTTTCGGTGCTCAATGCATGCATGGTTCTTGTGTGGATGCGGGCGACAGCACTGCGACGGACAAAACTTGCAATGAAAGTCACAAGTGTATGGACTCTTCAACCCAGCAGCGTTCCTGGGCACCGCAGCTGATGAAGAGGCTCCCGCTGGCTCCGGCTCCACCACAGAGTAGCCTGATGAGGACACACCTGAGGCACCACAATCCCAACTGTTGTCCAATTTGTCCCTTACCAACTTTGTAGCCTTCTCGATCAAGTCCAACAACTCAGAAACTGAATACTCTGACAAGTCAGAAACTCTCCTGAACCCCATGGCTCTCCGCAAAAATTGAACAAGGGCCCACCCGCCCTCCACTTGAACCAACAGGCAGAATCGTTTGAATTGCAAGACAATTCACGTTTGTGAATAATCTATTGTCACACGTGACATGTAGTTTTGCATGTAATGTCTTGATGTTGGATATAGTGAGGAAATTATTCGCAAACAAGAGGCGGGACATAACAGCAACGGTTTCCGCTACAATAATGTCATGCACAACGAAGTAACAATTTCCACAAAATTCAATTCATGCACTAAGGGTGTCCAAATCCCTCTAAAAGTTGAAGCTAGCCGCTGTCAGTTTTGAATGGGCCCTAGGGGTGCAAATGCTCAGCACCGGTCCCTAGGCTCTCTTTGGGCCCCTTGTGGCCCCTTGGCCCATTGTGCTCCCTTTGAACCCCTTGTGCGGGTTATGATAGGCAATGCCTTGCCCCACCCGGCTCCAACCAACCTGATGATAACATGGTTGGTAAAATAACATATGGAAATTCAGGCAAAAAAAAGAAATGAAAAAGGAAAGATGAATATTTACTTGCCAACAACGAGATGTTCTTTTGCTCGGGAACAGTGAGGCGGTTTTGCCACCATAAATGTATATAATCGATGCAAGAGCCATGCCAGTCCAGGCCAAACACACATGCCGCATGGGGGTAGGGGGGCCGAGTTGTACTGGCATAGACAAAGTCAGCCATGCAAGATCATCTCACAATAAAACACGTTCGTTAAATGTTCATTTGGAGCATTTGCAACAAGATCTCACAGTCCTCTATAAGACAAGATTGGGTGTATGCAGTTTGAGTTTGAGGCATGTTATCTCCTGCACATGGCTCTGAATCACACATTTTCCTCGTGTAAAATCTGATGGCGCAGCATTCGTCGACGCTGACGCCATTATATGTACAAATCGAGACTGGACCTGATCCACCTGACGCCAAACTATATCAAGCTGACATGTTAAGATTCAAGATTTAAATTTGACATGAATTCACTGCGAAATGACCACAAAGACACCGTGATCAACATGTCGATACCCATACGGCATGTGCATGTGCAAAGTGTATACAGCAAATGTGATGATGCATGCATTCCAATACAGATTTTGAAATCGTATACGCACACACACACACATATATATATACACACATATATATATATATACATATAAATAAATAAATAAATAAATAAACAAATAAACAAATAAATATATACATATGTGTGTGTGTTTTTTGTTTGGCTGGTATATTGTACAGCTGATGCTTAATACATGTCAAGAATATCGATATTTTGGGAAATGTGATTCAATAATGTTTACATAAATAACTATATATATATATCACATTCATATATATAGAAATCAAAAGAGAGGACAAATGGTACAAGTATGTATTTTTACAGAACAGGCCACTGTGGGAGTGCGCAAATTGCAGCATTTCCTGTGCAAAGATCCAACAGCATATGGCGCAACCGGACAAAATTGAATTCCATTCCTCTCTGCTGTTCATTGGCTGAATGCACTATGTCATAGCAAACATTGCTGTACTGTAGTGTATCGACCTTGCTTCTAGTGCAACCACTGACAGTGCCTGGCAATCTCTGCTTGGCACATCTGCAATGGCTATCCACACACAAACCAAAAAACCAAAAAACCAAAAAAACAAAAAACCAAAAAAACAAAAAAAACAAAAAGACAAGACCCAACACTCTGCATCTGACCCCCTCCCCTTGGGGTGTGCAATCTTGGTTTTTTTGTTTTTTTTGGTTTTTTGGTTTTTTGGTTTTTTGGTTTCTTGGTTTTTTGGTTTTTTGGTTTTTTGGTTTTTTGGTTTTTTGGTTTGTGTGTGGATAGCCCAGACCTTGCCCATGGGTCTGAACTTTTTTTTGTGTTCTCAAGGTTTTTGGCCAAACTGCAAAAAAAACATGGAAAAACCAAAAAAACAAAAAGTTCAGACCCATGTCCCCTGCCAGGCCTCTCCCAGACCTTGCCCATGGGTCTGAACTTTTTTTTTGTTTTTTCCATTGTTGTTTTGAATGTTTTTCATGTGAAGATGCTTTCATCACAGTACCTCTCAAAAAAATGCGCGTCTCTACAATTTGCACACCTGCTCCCCCCAGGCCAAACTGCAAAAAAAACCATGGAAAATCCAAAATTCATTTAATGGCTTATATAATGACTAATATAATGATTAATATAATGAATAATGTAATGACTTATTTTTTCATGAATATAATGACTAATATAATGATTAATATAATGATTAATATAATGGTTAATAAAATGATAAATAAAATGATCAATATCATGATTAATATAATGATTTATATAATGATTAATTTAATGATTATTAAAATGAAGAATTTAATGATTAATATCATGATTATTATCATGATTTAAATAATGATTAATATAATGGTTCATATAATGCCTAATGCAATGACTAATATAGTTAATATAATGATTAATATAATGATTCATATAATGATAAATATAGTGATTCATTTCATGATTTATTTAATGACTTTTATAATGACTCAGATAATGATAAATATAATGATTTTTGTAATGGCTGATATACTTGTTAATTTATTGACTAATTTAATGATTAATATCATGATTCATATAATGATTAATAAAATGATTAATATAATGATTCATTTAATGATAAATATAATTATTCTTTTCATGATTCATTTAATGGCTTTTATAATGACTAGTATCATGATTATATTTTAAGAATGATTAATATAACGATTACTATTATGATGAATACAATGATTATAATACCATGAGTAAAATACTGACTAATTTAATGAGTTTATATACAATGAGTAATGTAATGATTAATAAAAATGATTAATATAATGATTAATTTAATGACTAATATAATGATAAATACAATGGCTAATATAATGAATGTTAAAATGATTAGTATAATGATTGATATAATGATTAATATACTGATTAATATAATGGTTAAAATAGTAATTCATATAATGACTAATATAATGATTAATATAATGATTAATAAAATGATCAACATCATGATTATTATAATGATTTATATAATGATTAATTTAATGATTATTAAAATGAAGAATTTAATGATTAATATCATGATTATTATCATGATTTAAATAATGATTAATATAATGGTTCATATAATGCCTAATGCAATGACTAATATAGTTAATATAATGATTAATATAATGATTCATATAATGATAAATATAGTGATTCATTCCATGATTTATTTAATGACTTTTATAATGACTAAGATAATGGCTGATATACTTGTTAATTTATTGACTAATATAATGATTAAAAATGATATATATATATATAATGACTAAAATAATGATTAATAAAATGCTTAAAATAATGAATTATTTAATGACTGATATAATGATGATTCATTTTATGATTCATTTGATGATTAATATAATGATTCATAGAATGATTCATATAATGATTCATATAATGATAAAAATAATGATTCATTTAATGACTTATATAATGACTAATATAATGACTAATATAATGATTAATGTAATGGCTGCATGGAAAAAAGTGCACTCCCACAGCGGCCAGCTCTCTTTTTTTAAGTGTACAAAAATCAAATACAACTAATTGTCATTGTATGTATGTGTTTTTATAATGTCATACATTTGCATGTAAGTGGATACAAAATGGACCGTGGTATGGATCTTTGCCTTCGCCCGGAAGGAAGCAACATTTGCAGCCAAAAACACACACCATGATCAAAAGACACAAGGTGATCTAACAAACATGGCCCCCATTCACAGCTTCCATAACAGGGACTTTCAAATTATATTTTAACAACTGGTTGCTGCCCCTTACTGCACAAACTCTTCGCGGCACATGCCCCTCACCCATGCATGCCCTAGCTCTTCTCCTTCTGTTTTGTTGTTGATGACCCTGAGTACCACCCCTAAACTCGACATGGAACCCGAGGGCAACATACAGTGATAGAATATATAATCTTTCGAGGTGTAATTCTACCAAGTTCCATAATTTGAACACATTTATTGATTGGCAGCGCCCTTTTGATCCTCGCACAAAACGCCTACGGTAACATCCATGTATTGCACATGCGACTACAACTAAACTGACATGCATGGGTTCGACATGTCTGCAACTAAATCCAAATTGAACTGCATTTGTACTGCAAACAACTGGATATGCTATGGGGTGAAATTCCATTCACCCCGCCTCAGATGCGACTTTTCAAGTCAGCAGCTGAAACTTTTGTTGAAATCTACTAAGGCTATCTCCAAAGCCTTCATGGCAAAAGGGCAGTAGATTCTTCCTTCTTTTTGTTGCATGTTTGAAAAACTCTGTACATCTCTCAAAACTTCTTTTAAGTCTCATCTACATCGGTGTACATCATTCCATGCGCTTCTCTGATCTGACCCTCAATCTGTGCCATCATCAAAGAGTCGTTGTGCACCTGTGCACGTTCCCAATCAGCTTCTAAGCGTTCTACTCGGGCTTGAAGCACAGCATTGGTTTCCAGCATAGATTGCTTCAACTCAGGCGACAGGTGGGAGGTAGATACCACAGGATCAGTAGTCAGAGAAGATTCGGATCCTTCTTCTGCTCCATCGTGTTTATCAGTCCAAGGCGGTCCATATAGTGAATGTGACGCCAATACTCGTCATCTGAAACTTCATACATCTCACTATCTAATTATTCCTCCATAAACCAGGTCCAAGTTTAAACTAAACAGATCTTGGTGGTGGAAGTTTCTAAGTAGAATACGGTAAAGGCTAATGAGGTTTATATATCGATATCTATATAAACGTATACAAACTAACAAAAGAAATACGCGCCACGTGATTCCGCATTCTCCTTCGTCGTGCTTCGTTAAACATCCTCAAATTGAAAATGATGAAAAGGTCTCGATCCGCTTCGAAAAAATTCGGACATGAATGCAAACGAAAGGTGAAGCAGCTGTGATTCAAAGCGTCCCTTTTTA